TTTATTGTATTTTTATATTCTTCCTGAAGAGCTGATTTCATCAATACATCACACTTGGGGTATAACGGGAATGATTACAGAGATATAGGGTGTTCAAAATCGAGATTTTTCAACTTTAGGATTTTTTTGTGTCGGAACTATTCATTATTGGTCAAAATGGCTTCTATGTCCCCATCTCAACTTTTGATTTACTATCAACTGACATTTAATTGGAACATTTACAGGGTGGTTCAAGATTCAGAATTCTGATCACCCTGTATCTGTTCCAATTATTAAATGTCAGTAGATAGTAAATCTACAATTTAGATACGGACATGACCGATAATGAATAGTTTCGTCACAAAAAAATCCTAAAGTTGAAAACTCTCGATTTTGAACACCCTATATCTCTGTAATCATTTCCGCTAGACCCCAAGTGTGATGCATTGATCAAATCAGCTCTTCAGGGAGAATCTAAAGATACAATGAAAAATAGGGTGTTCCATTTAAAAAAATCGAATAGTACCCTGTAGATCGTTTGTTCCGAGCAACCTGTATTTTCTGATGTAGCGGAAAAAAACTTTATCGAAAATCATCTAAGATGATATCTCGAATTTTGAAATCGGTTCGAAAATAACTGAGCTAGAGGGGGGGACATTTATGGTGAATCACCCTGTACGTATATAGGTACTCTCTGTATCTATCCTTAGTCAATGATATATTTTTTCAGGTAATCTAGGAAAATATTAATAATTTATTCAAAGCATAACAATTAACAATTATCGTGCGGCTATAATGATACGAATAATTAATGCCATATCATTTAGAAATTATTACCTGACTGATAAAAGCCTTATAACGAGTACATAACCTTGGGTGAAATCGTTTGTTAGGCACCAGTAGGTTCTATTTTTATAATTATTTCATTGATAAGTCTTTGATGGTATTTGCATTAGTTTATTGATTTCAGAATCTAGGGAAAGTTTCTCCTATTATACTGATATATAATTTGCCTGACAATAAAGCGTATTATTTTGCATCGAATTAAAGATTTATATTCAGGGAAAATATTTTTTTATATATTTAATATGCACTATGATAGGCAATTTGATGAAATAATCCAGTTCCCTCTGATTCTCCCTGTATGAGTTCATGAACAAACACGATGTTGCCATACAAAAAAAATCAATTTTTTATGTTGAAAACGGGAGCAGATTCGTTCCCGAAACGTCCAAAGATAAGTAAAAATTTATACAATATATATGTAGGGTGATTGACTATGGATTTCTCGACTTCAACAGCTGATATCTCGAAAACGAAAAAAGATATTTGAAATTTGGAAAATGTTACTTGAATGAGATGTAATTTTCTTCTGGAAAATGTGTTTTCTGCTTGATTTTATCATTTCATATACAGGGTATGTGGAAAAGAATTTTTTTTTCAAATGGAACCCCCTGTATATTATCGCATATTTCGAAAGAGCTATCTTTCCTGATTTCAAAGATATATACTTTCCATATATTATTCTATCGAGTGCTTGACGAAATATCAGCAAAATCAAATATTAATATTTGGTCCAAGTTAGCTATGGTTGAAATAGAATGAGATGATGAATAAGTGAATTGACATTTGGTCAACATTTCAGTGACATAAGTGCGCAAAATTTCGATAATTTTTTCACGATGCCATATCCACTGAAACAAAGAAGAGATATTTTGGAGTGCTATTTTTCAGTTAATAAAAATCTTGCTGAAACACTTCATAAGTTTATGAGGAGTTATCCAGGCAGGAGATTATCAAGTAAGAATTATGTAAAGTATTTGGCTGCTAAATTTGACAGAACTTCCAGTTTGTCGAATATCAAGAGAATAGTGAGAAGGAAGGCAAGACAACGAAGACGAGGAACTTCTTGTAATCCAGTATTTTGTTGAGGATCCTTCACGGTCGATAAGAAATGCAGTGAGAGAGTTTGGTTTCAGCTATTATTTTGTTCAACATACCTTAAAGAAATATGAATATAGGGATTTCAGAATTAGACCATGCCACAAACTCAATTATGATGATAATGAGAAGCGGATTGAATTTTGTCTTGTCATATCTGAAAGATTAAAAAATATAAGTAAGTATAAGTGTAAGTGTTTCAGCAAGATTTTTATAAACTGAAAAATAGCACTCCAAAATATCTCTTCTGTGTTCCAGTGGATATGGCATCGTGAGAAAATTGTCGAAATTTTGCGCACTTATGTCACTGGAATGTTGGCCAAATGTCAATTCACTTATTCATCATCTCATTCTATTTCAAACTATAGCTAACTTGGACCAAATATTAATATTTAATTTTGCTGATATTTCGTCAAGCCCTCGATAGAATATATAAAAAGTATAAATCTTTGAAATCAGGAAAGATAGCTCTTTCGAAATATGCGATAATATACAGGGGGTTCCATTTGAAAAAAAAAATTTTTTCCACGAACCCTGTATATGAAATGATAAAATCAAGCAGAGAACACATTTTCTAGAAGGAAATGACATCTCATTCAAGTACCTTCCTCCAAATTTCAAATATCTTTTTTCGTTTTCGAGATATCAGCTGTTGAAGTCGAGAAATCCATAGTCAATCACCCTTACCTTTATTTCTCTTCTCAAACCTTTTTCAATACAAATTGTCACTGACAAGCTAGTGAATTTTTCTTTTAGGCTCTCTGATAAGAAAATTCTTTAAACGCAGTGAGGGGAAAATCATCTGATTTGTCCTCACTACACGTATATTGAAATTGTATTCATATTCTCATTTTATAGAGACGAGGAAAGAAAATCCCAAAATAATCTGGAATAATGAATAAAAATTATCATCAAAATGTATACATCTCTTTATTGCTATATTGCGCGATAACAATTATTATTGATAAAATTATATTGATTATTAAAAATATCACAGAACAGGTATCTGAGATTCATGAAATGAAATATATATAGGGTGACCCAAAAGTTCACGTCATCTTTGGAGCAATGTTTTGTTATAAATTGCCAGGTTAGAGTGGAGTTTTTTGAGTTAGCTAATTAAAAAATTACTCAGGAATAGAATTTTTTACTTCCATAGGACACTATCAATTTTATTTTCAACTGTGAACAATAGAAAAAGCGTAAAAAACCTGAAATATGGAATTATGTAGCTGTGGAATCATTGAAATTGAATGTACGTGTCGATTTCCAAAAAACTCATGAAAGGCTTTTGATCAGGGTTGGAATAAGTCATGACTTTTATAAAAAAGTCATCGAAGTCCGACTTTTTGAATTAAGTCAGACTTTTTTGAATTAATTCATTTGGAAAAAAAAATTCATTTACCCAAAGCGAAATAGAAAAAATGAAACAAAAAAACTATGTTTTTATTCCCTTCAGAAATCTTGTAGACTAACATCATAATATAACATGTAATTTTTTCAAAACAGAATTAAAAGTGATGATGAAGTATAGATCCAGTATCATCCATAAAGTTTGTAACACATGGAGAAAAAGTTTATTAGTAGAATATCGAAACATTTTTTCTTGGGGATCTGTTATGCATGTCTGACTACTTAAAAGTCGATTTTGACACATGTCACTTGATCACTGGTATAGCGGTAAATTCAAAAAATTATGATGACAAAAAATGGGGTTAAATGGGAAGATGAAGTTATTTAAAAAAAATAAAAATAGCTATTTTCAGTTTTCTCAAATAATGGCTGGAAACTCCATATGTGAGCATGAAATTGAATTCTATTCAACTTGTACATCATCAACATCACTACTGTCAGAAAAAAAAAGAATTGTAACAAAATTGAAGAATATTCGAAAAAATATAGCTATTTCCAATTCTCCTCCAAAAATTGCTCGAAACTGAATGTGGAATAGCAACTTAATAAGAAATGTTTATGGATATTTTGTTATCTAACCCCACTTTTCCTCGCTTTATGGTATTATTTTTATTTATCACCATACCAGTGATCACGTGACATGTGTCAAAATCGATTTTCAAGTTATCGAATATGCATGATGGATCGCCGAGAGAAAAAAATTCGATATGATAATACACCTGTTCTCATATGTTATGGACTTTATGGATGATACTTGATACTGTATATATCTGTTAGTGAAAATCATGCTTGAAATAACAAAGTCTTGCCAAAATACGATCGAATTTTCCAGTTCAAACTAGTTAAAATCAAAGGTAATAGTGCAATTTGTCTCATTTTTAAAAATTTGAATGAATTCATGACTTTTTCGAAAGAAGTCAATGGAATTAATTCACGAATTAAATCACTGATTTAATTCATATGAATTAATTCATGCCAACCCTGCTTTTGATATCTCGAAAACTACCAATGATTTATTGGCAACATATCTTCAATTGCTGGTCTATCAGCCCTCCAAGGGATGACGTTGCCTTTTGGGACAACCTGTATACAAGGTGTCTCTAAAAGGACTTTATAAAAACAATGACATATTCCTAACACCGCAACAAATGAATGTAAGCAAACTTTTATACAAGTGGCTCATGAAATTCTACTTAAATTTGGTATCCATAAAATGGTTTTCACGTATACGACGCAAGAAATAGATAACTATTTTTTTGTACTGCAGCTTCATACTTTTTTGTTTTTGATGTGAAGACCTTTTCAGGACACCCTGTATGTTAGAGAAGAACTGATGAAAAATATTAACAATGATGATGATTCAGTTGGTCCCCTGAAATATGCGATAAATGTAACATTTTTGGTTTTAAAAACACAATGAAAAATGATTCAAACATAAAGGTCAAAATATAACAAGAAATAACTAAGAAAGAATATGCAAAATTAAAGAAATGAAAAATGAAAAGAATGAACTTTGGTGTTAATATATAGCACACAATTATTGAATAAAACTATATAGGTACATGGTATTGAGCTCGATCACACTCGTTTATAGACAATTTTTAACTAAAACTTTCACTGTCAACAATATAATTACTTATCAACATGAAAAAAAATCATACATAATGATGTGATGACATCTTTATCTCCGAAAAACAATTTTATATGCATAGACATTCAAATTTAAAAACAATCAAAAACAAAGTTAAATACTTTATAGTCTGCCAACATACATAACAAACCCATGCACAAAACCTCGACGAGAAAAATCAGCTCTTGTACCCCTTTTTCCAAACAGTATCCTTCAAATAAGCCAACTGGCCCCCTTGCAACAACCCCTCGACAATATCAGTGAACCCCAGCTCGCTGGCTAACCTGTATTTCGCGTGAACACTCGGTACCTTTTCCAGAATCCCCTTCATGCTATTGATTTCGTTAGTAGTATTGATATTGGCGATCAGGAATTTCCTGGAGATATCGTTCGCCAGACTTTCGGTCATCGAGCGATGTTTCAAGAATGAGGTTAGGTATGCAGCGTTGTTTTTCGTGATGCATTGCTCGAACAGCACTTGGCTCCAATCAGGTTGGTAGTTGTAGGCTTGTATCAGGATCAAGGATTGATCAAAACTGAAAGATTCAATCCATGAAACGAAGTTATATTTTAGTTTGGGTGAATCCGGTGAATGCAATGAATTGACTTGGAATGTTTTGAATTGTTTTTTTTTCTTCATTTCATAACAGTATAATGATCAATAGCGGGAAAATCATGTAGTTAGATTATGTTCTTTCTCATTGTCTTAATTATGTCTCATTTCTCATTTCTAAATGCAAACGATTCCTCTGGTGTGTCCACTCTTCAATTGTTTCGTCAGACTAGCTCTCGATATGAATAATTGAATGCGAGTTCGGAACGTCGGGTTCTCAAATTCGATGATAGATGGCGTGAACGATGGACAATTTCTTGGAAAATTACAAAATGCGTTCCGAATCTTATAATGAAGTTGAATTAGACTTTCAAGGATGTGTTCTCCTTCTCTGAGGACCGGAAGAGTCCTGTTGATGATGCACGTATTCAATAATGGCTGATAAGAAGCATCTAGAGACCGCACGCAAAAGATACAGGGCGCAACAAATAATCCGTGCGGGAACATCTTGATCTTGACATATCTGTCACGAGTGTCATGTCCTACATTTTCAAGACTTTGTTCAAATTTCAAATAGAATTTTATAAATTAAGAGCATTAGTAGTTTATTAAGCAGGTATCGATATATTATTAGTTGGGTGAGTGTATTGTGCTTTCATCATGGACTGACTGTTGCAATGTGTGAGGATTATTTGAAAATCCGACCATTCGTTTCATTTTATGTACCAAAAATTAGTAACTGAAATATTATCACAGGATTCTCTTTAGTTAGAACTTCGTTCCGTTCATGAATTTACCATTGAAAGTCGAAAATATGACGCACCGTTTCCATTTAAACAAAAAATTGTGAAAATGAAAATATGAACATAAATGAATGTGTCATGATGCCTGTAAATTTGGTTTGAGACTTCGGAAATTTAGCAAGATTCTCGCACGCCTCGCAATTTTTACAAAGTAGGCGATATCGAGAGATTCCGAAACTCCTCTCAATAGGAAGTGATAACACCATTTGACTTTCTATACATCTATGCCAAGGTCTTCAGATGAAGTTCAGATGACATTAAAGGTCTGTTCGCTGTTTCTGCATGAAATTTATATTGTACACTACGCATTTCTACAATCAATCTACAATACCCTTTAAGGCGCAGACTAGTATAGTGGAGTAGAGTGTAGTGAATATAAGTAAGTGTATCGGTATTTCGCGTATTCTAATTGCATGGTAAAAACTCTTGGAATTCGAGAAAAAGAAGAGATAGTGATGATGAAATCATTGACAGTTATTTCTTGAATTCAGATGGTGAATCAATAACAAGTTCTTCTGATCGACGAGGATTTATCCATGAAATCTGTTTCATCAGTAGTTGGATAATCCATCTCAGGATTAGAAATATTGACCAAAATGATTGAATAATTTACGAAACAGAGATTGTTGTTTATGCTCCAAAAACAAACTCCTAACCTAACCACTATCTGCACTGCACTTCTCACACCTCCTCAAGATCAAGTGTAACACTCTGTTTTGGCGGTAAATTATCTCCAGTTATTGTGAAACAATACTTTGAAAACGAACACAGTGTGAGTGCACACCATTTAACACGGTATCAGAGCTACACAATCTACTATATATCTATATTCAATCAATCAATCAATCAATGAATTTCAATCGACAGATATGTCCAGTACACAGCTTCGCGGATGATATAGTACCCTCCATACCGCCTTCTCTTTCAGGGCTCCAATACCAGCCAGGCAAATCAGAAACGAACGAGGAAGAAATGTTGACAACATGAATATGGACTTGGCAACAATTCTTGAATGGGGATCCAAAAACTTGGTAGATTTCAATGCAAACAAAACGAAAGCATGCCTTTTCTATTGAAAAGTCGATCTCACTGTGCCCAACATAAGCTTTTCAGGAGTAACCATACCTTCGAAGACACCCATTTCGATGCTTGGTATTACTATCAGCAATAACCTTTCTTGGGAAAATCACGTGAGATCAATTGCTAAAAGTGCATCCCAAAAACTTGGTATTCTGTTTCGGGCCAGGAGCTATTTCACTTCCAGTCGGCTGCTTATGATCTATAAGGCACAGATCCGATCTGTCGTGGAATACTGTTCCCATATTTGGAGTGCAGCACCCAAACAAATCCTAAAACTATTGGATTCTGTCCAAAAAAAGCGCAATTTGTCTCGTGGGTGATGCCTCGCTCACAAACTCACTCACTTCTCTGGAAGACCGTAGAAAAGTTGGCGATCTGGCTCTATTTTATAGATATTTTCATGGACGAAATATTAACAATTGTTCCTCCCTTGGCAGTCCCCGCGAGATTAATCCGTCGAGTTGAGGCCTCGCACCCGTTCGTGGTCACTTTGAAGACCTGCAGAACATCTCTTCCCAAAGACTCGTTCCAATGAACAGCGAGGCTCTGGAACACATTACCAAGGGAGGCATATAACCTCCAGAAATTCAAGAAGAACACCAATTCCAACCTTATTTCCCTTGGTTCTCACGATGTTCTCTGAACATTACAGGATATCCCTTTTCGTGGGAATCAGAACATGAAAAAAGGGAAAATAGTATCGCGAGTTTTATTCCTATGACTATTTTATGATTTAGACAATAAATGAGCGCCTCGCAAAAGTTGCACACACAACATAATTTGACGTTTAAATGTTAAAAATTGAATCGCTGAAAAACGAGTTTTGTTGGTCACGTGTGGGTCAATTCGGCTTCTGTATTGGTAGAGCAGATTTGATGATTTTCAGTAAACTAAAAATATAGCTGGAATACAGGCGATATTGTGAAAATGGTCGATTCTGATTGGTTCGCAAGAGCAAGAGTCGAATAGTCAATAAAAATCAACTATTTTGAATAACAGTATTAATGATATGATCAAAACATTCGCTTGTGAACTAAAGTGAACTATATGGACATAATCTGCCGAATGGAGAATTGAAAAGTCTAATATTTTCTAATATTTGATATTTTTATGGAGCATAATAATATGTTTTGAATAAAAAAGTACGAATTAATGCAAAATAGATAGAAGTTCGGCAACAAGTCAGTGAACTCAGAGGCTCAGAGGTATGTAAAAGTCTAATCAGTGACGTACTAAAAACAAACTCCAACGGTTTTTCAAAACACAGAAATTGATTTGACCGATTCGCAATTTTTCTCACCTCAATTCATTGGAAATCAATCTAGATATTTGCCCCTGATTTAAATTCAGCAAACACAATGCCGTCCCATTATTGGGCGAGCCTTTCAGCAATGACTTCTGCAAAGCGATCAGCTCTGCCTGTTTGGCAGAATTCATCGCTTTGGCCAACTTTTCTCCTTGCAAGTGAAATTCAGTGGCGTAAGTGTAATTCTCGATCGCCTAAAAAAAAATTCGCACATCAAACGGAATTTTTGCCATCGAAATTGTTCCTGGAAATAATGCTTTTCAAGATGAAGGGCAAACTCGTCATGTCTTGACTCTTTTTTATAGGGTGAAAACCTCAAACAACAAAATTTCCCGAATCATGAGATTCATATGTAATACCACAGGTGATAATATTTTGCCGGAAATATTCGGTGATTGTTACGACAGCTTGTTGCCTAGTAATTTCGTGAATGACATTGTTATCAAAACTACGAGCCGTAGGCGAGAAGTTTTGGATCAATGTCATGAGCGAAATTAGAGCAGCAAGCTGGAGTATGTCAATCGACGGATATTTCCAGGAAAAATAGTATCACGAGTTGTATTCGTATGATATGACTATTTCATGATTGAATGAGACGATATATTATATAATAAATAGGAAACATAATTTCAGTATATTCCAACTCAAACTGCGAAGAAAAACATAATGATAGTAATGAAATACAGAATTCAATTCTTTAGAAATTCAACTACCTACTTATAGTTATTCACAAAGTGGAATGTACAATTTTGATAAACAGTATTTTTTTTATTATCTTGGAGATGGTTGCTCTCAAAAGAGTGTATACAATTGCTATCCAATTCAAACAAAATAAATTGAATTTATGTGACATGAAATAATTTAAAAAAAGATATCGTCGCCGAGGGGCTCGAACCATCGACCTTCGTATCTTCGCGCAACAACCCTATCAGTTGAGCTTCATCATCTGGTAATTATATTAGTCACAATAACTTGAGTGATTGAAGAAGATTAGTTTGAAAAGGAATTTGAATTCTAGTATTGTTGTGTCAGACCGTCAACAAATATACAAACTTTTTAAATTAAACATGAAACGTCCAGCCAGAATAAAATTGTCTCGCCTTTCGTACAAAATGTCTCACTAACGCGAATTATAAGTAAATAAAATAAAGTAGGTACCTAGGTGATTGTCTCAGATTTTAATCCAAAGCAATCTTGACCAGACACGATGTCAAAACTTTATCGCTGATAAAGGTTTTTTGGTCACGTGTGGGTCAATTCAGCTTCTGTATTGGTAGAGCAAGTCCGATAAAATTTAATAAACAAAAAATATCGCTATAATACAGAAGAAACCGTGAAAATGGTCGATTCTGATTGGTTCTCGAGATCAAGAGTGGAATAGTCACCGATAAATCTTGTCACTTGGTTTGTCCAATAGTACGTCATGAAAATTGTAGAGGAGCCGAAACTATACCATCACGAATATTTTCGGAATTTTGATCGCATGAAAAAAATAAAAAATATGCGTTCAATGCGAATTCCCATAAATAATGTAAAAACTTCAAAAACGATAAGATTTCCACAAAATTCTCAAACACATGACATGTTCCGCTAACACAGTAGCTTCGTCAGGTGGATATACTGGTACGATGATGATATACAGGGTGAGGCATTAGTGTGGCAAAGTGAGATAACGACTTTACTGTTTGAGATAGATGAACAAAAATTTCAGAGATGATCTCGGATCATCAGCAGCACGTTTCCAAATCGTTTCGCTTTATACAGGGTGACTTAGAAATGCGTGGCGTATCAAAGTAATAGTTTTTCTCATGGGACACCTTGAATTTCATTGCATTTTCGCATTCTCCTTTGTGAGCTGATTTCATCAGTGCTTCAAACTTGGGGTCTAGCGAGAATGCTTACAGAGATATAGGGTGTTCAAAATCGATAAACGGGGTGAACGATAGGATTCGATTGACTAATAAGAAAGAGTATAACTTTGATACTCCACGCATTTCTGAGTCACCCTGTATGAAGCGAAATAATTTGGAAATGTGCTGCTCATGATCCTAGATCATGTCTGAATTTTTTTTTCATCTATCTCAAACAGTAAAGCCGTTATCTCACTTTGCTACACTAATGACTCACCCTGTATATTTGATATACTGGTATCGTACCAGTATATCACCTGAGGAAGCTACTGTGTTAGCGAAACATGTCGTATGTTTGAGAATTTCGTGGAAATCTTTTTTACATTTGCCATGAATTTTCATCAAGTAGCGGCCTAGTCAATTCAGAATTCCCATAAACTATACTGATGAATGAAAATATAAATGTTGGAAATTCAAGTCTGCCCTCAATCTCTGAAAACCATAAAACGTCAGATTTTCTAGGTACCCTAGAACTAGGTACCTTGTTGAGACAAATCTTGGTGCCATCGGTGTTAGTGAACAAAACATAAGGTTCGCTATCGGGATTCATCTTGTTGTTTTGCATCTCCAACCTAGAAATCTCTATCAAATTCCTTATAGCCCCTTGTGCTTCTCTCTCCCACAACAAAGCCACCTCAGAAAACAACGTGAAATGCAGCGCCACAATCTTATAAAGCTCCCTATTATCAGGGCAGTACTTCTTCAAGTACTCCAACAGGGCCGTCTTGAGTCCATTGTCCCTCCTCGAGCCCTTGCGCAGCAAAAACTCGAACTGGTCGTTCTCGCGCAGAATCTGGAAAGCGTAATTCATCTCCGTGTACCGCCCCACGCCTGTCAAAAGTCTGACGATCAGTTTCCAGCTGCGCAGGTTCAACAGGTGCGAAATGACAGCTTGACATTTCTTCAGGACGATCGAGATGCCTTCCATGTTGCAGTCGGCTGTGAAGCACTCGTGAGCCGTTATCAGGAGCTCTATGACTAGCGCTATCTCGCTTATTCGGAAGTCTAAGTCGGCTAGCACTTGGGATTTGTGCATAGCGCTTGCGTAGGAGTAGATTTTGTAGCCCAATAGGGAACAGTTGTCTTGTAGGAGTTGTAAAATCGAGTGGAAGTCTTGGTCGATGGATAGGTCCCACATTGTGAAGGTGTCGGATTTGGATTTTATGTATTTGGTGGCTGAGGTTATGATTTCTTCGCAAATGAAGTCGGCCATCTGTGGAATTTTTTCATTTTGAATATCTACAGAGTGACTCATTTGAAAGCGGGCCACGAATGTTTCTTTGAAATGTAGAGGGGGGAATCCATATTGACGATTTTTTTCGAAAAAATCTGCGTACACGACTGGAATTGGCGTCCTCTGAAATGGAACAACATCAACGAATCTACAGCGATAATTTTTTTATGAGATCATATTATGAATTTTTATACCAGAAAATTGACCTGATAATATTGTTCTTCATGGTTCCAATCTCCCATAGGTGAATTTTCATATGATTCCTATGAGGGGTTAAAAAAACAGGCACATCTGAACAGCATTTTTGCGAACGTTCAACATAAAATAGTATTTCTTGTTATTCTTTCAAATCACGATTTTCTTCCTACCGGAGCTATTGAACGTTCCAAAATTAGCAAATCGCTAATATTGATTCTGGATTTTTCAGCCTCTGCATGTGATTGGTCACTGCTTAGCTCCAGAATACACCTTTTCCCCCCTCTATATTTCAGAAAAAAATTCATGAAAATCTCTCCATAAATAAAACATTTATGAGTGTGGCCGCTTTCAAATTGGTCATTCTGTATACAGTTTCATAGGTGAACGCTCAAGGTAAATAACGGTTGCATTCTTTCACTCTTGAAACATTTATCTCGTTGATTTCATGAGATGATGTTGTGTACAGGTGACTTAAGTGTTTTATAACATCATGAAAATGTTCTATCTGTAGATCATCACAATTTCTTCTCGTAGTTGGATGAAAATAGAGTAAAAGTAGAATTATTCTTTAAGAAGGTACAAGTGAAAGAAATAAAACAATTTGAAAGTTTTCTCAAGATTAATTTTTATTTCTTCAAGTTCACACTTTCGAAGAACGTTAGTGGTTGAACTGAAACACCCTGTATATCAAGATCATCAAGGAAGTTTCAATACAATTATCATAGAATTGTGTATGTATATGTTCATCAGAACCATGCATACATTCAACCAAAATGAGTTTTATAAAGATACATATAATGGTTTTATATCGTCTCGGAAAAGCCAAAAGGCGAGGACGTATGAATAATATATCTGGGTAGCACAGACAATCATAAGGGATTAACACAAGTTATATAATGGTTTCATATTCATAAAAAGTCCAGGTCATACAAATATTCCGTGTGGGTTACAGGGAATCTAAAGTTTCAAATTGGAATCGGAATTGATACTATTTACATATTTTAAATATCAATTACTTTAGGGACAAACTTTAGTGGGAATGCAATTATTGAGAATTGAATACCCATATATTCACCAAAACCAGATACAAGCGACAATCCGATCAAGAATTCATTCATAATGGGTTTTATAGTAATTACACAAGTTATATAAGGGTTTTATAATGTAATAAAGAGGAGAGGGCGTACAAATATTATATATGGGTAACACAAGTTATATAATGGTTCTATCACGTAATACAAAGACATGTTCACATGAATATCACGAAAATGTTCATATGTTTCATGTTATAAACCTTGAGAAGAGCTCTTACCTGTTCTTTGGACCACTTGTAGACCCCAAAAAAGTCATGGACGACCTCTAGTTTGTTCAAGCAATCGTCTCCAAGAGCATCCTTCAACATTTTCATCGAATCCCAGTTGGAAACTATCAAATGATACGGTATCTCGATGTTGATGCTTATACGGTAAGTCATGAAGATAGCCTTGGCTATCGTAGAACCGACTGTCACTTTTTCAGCTAAATTGCAAAGTATGGCTAGAGTATCTTGTACTGGAGCTTCGCTATTATCGCTCGGTTGAAGATAAGATATACAGGCGGATGAATGAGAAGCTGAAAAAATTGAAGCGATAGGGATGCTGCTTCATTGAAAATTTCACACAAACATTTTTTAACCAATGAGAAGCTTTCGTTTCAGTTTGAGGACGTTTTTTCCGCCAGGGTACCTTAGCGATTGTAGTTTTTTGTCGAATGCACAGCCCTCTATTAGCTTTTCAAACAATAATTGTTGACTTTTTCTGTCTATCTCCACAGGGGAAAATAGTTATTTATTATACAAGGGATAAAAGTAGTAGATTTTAGCTCCAGGTTGTAAAAATCTAATATTTTTCCCGTGTATAATGTATGTATGTAAGTTTTTAACAGTAGGGACACCTGCGTTGTAGGCATCTTTATCATTCTTTTGAAGTAATCAAATATATGATGTCACTTCTGTCAGTCTAATTCTGTGATTTGACTTCAAAAAATTGCGAAGTTAGTGGTTGTTTAGTAATATAAGTAACCGCGAAGTCGAATGGAAGATAAAAGGACTTGCAGTTCTTTCTCGGAGACGGTATTATTGACTCATTTTTCGAAACTATAGTAGAACAAAAGCCATCAACAGTGTGATATATATCCGTGAAAAAAAGTAATCACTTTTTTCCCACAAGCAAAAAGTAATTTATGAAAAGTGACATTTTATAACCTGCCAACAGAGATGAAATGCCAAACTTTTTTCTCGTCACAGAAAAATAGTTATTTATACATCAAAAGGAAGTAAAGACTATCCTAGGGACCAAGATCATAACCATTGGCCTGTGTTATGCTAAAAAAATTGAAATTCTCTCAAAAACTTGAAATCCCGTGATTCATCTCTAGATTGATTTCATCAAAATGGTTTTTGAGACGAAACACATTTTTTCCAATTCATCTGTAGTAAAGAGTAGTAATGGGATGATTTGTTCCAGAACATCGCTGCAGCTAAAACTTCACTATTAAAAATCTAACAGTACAGTACAACAAAAGTCATCAACAGTGTATGTGATATATATCCGGGAAAAAAAGTAATTACTTTTTTCTCACGGGAAAAAAGTAATTTATGAAATGTGACATTTTATAACCTGCCAACAGAGATGAAATGCCAAATTTTTTTCCGTCACAGAAAAAATGCTATTAATACATTTTTTATAGACGATTTTAATGTTCATTTTTTTTAACGAATTAGTATCACAGATTTGTTGCCTGCTAATATTTTTCGCAAAGATTCGTTTCATGCAACTAAAATCCTAAAGATCTTTCTTGGATATGGAAACCCAATGTAATTACAAATTGAATCAAGATATTTTCCAAATAGTACTATTTGGCAAAAAATCTAGTTTAAGCAAACTTGTGAAACTTAAATAAAAATAAACCCTTTAAGGTTCTGTTAATTTATTCTTCAATTATTCCATGAATTGAAATTCAAGAGGCACTTCGAATTCTTTGCAAAATACATAATAGTCACTTGACCAACAAAAATTATAAAAATACAGACTTCCGTTTACTGTAATAATACAGATTGGTTGATAGCTAATAGAAAACATTCGAGAATACATTATTTCATACTACTAAAATCCTAGGAACATATTCTTTGGATATACAGGGTATTTCAAAACTCAGATCAAAATAAAACTTTTTTCATATAAACATGTGTCCGGAAACGCATCGTTACCGATCTACAAAGCGTTGAAATTTCAAGATTTTTTTCTTTTTTTTATAGCTCTTTTAGTGATTATACCAGATGATTTTCGTCAACGGGTTAGCAGAATCGGGAACTTTTGTTATCATCTCGTATAGTATACTACCATGATTCATTGATTTAAATGTTAATTGAATCCCATATTGTTTGGTAGCATTGTCAGATGATGGCCGTAATGCCGAAACCGGTAACTTTTTACTGAAGATTTTTATATACAGTGTGGTCGACGGACTTTGTGTTACTTGTTTTTCTTTTGGAATTACTTTGGGCCACTTTTGAGACATGGATGATTTTCATGAATAAAAATAAACTTCGTATATATTCTGAATTACCGATCTCTACCCTTCCATACTCAACAAGAAGTAGTTAACGTTGTCGCTCATAGATACTGCCAACTACTGAAACGAATTTTTGGCTTCATTGCTCTCATAAGGATGGTTCATCTTGTAATAATCAAAGATAATGGCAAATTTCTACTATTCAGTCCTACATTCTATTGAAAAAAATTTCTTACATTTAAGAACACTCATAGCAAATAGTAAAAATCGATTAATTGAGTTGAACAAGTGAGGTACGTAGTTTTTGAAAGGTATCAGATTAGTATAGATGTAATTTTCATTATGTAATAGATTAGTATAGACGTCAGATGATTTATACGATATAAAGCAGATGATATTTTATCATTGCTCATGTAAGATGGAAGTAGAGGCCATGGCACCATATCATGAGCATATTTTTATATTGAAACTATCATTGGGCACCAAAGATGTGTATACGATGCTATGAAAGTTCAGAGAACTGGAGATTTTTCCCACAAACTACGTACTTAGCCCACTCGACTGTCTTGGTTTTTCCACACAAACTACGTACCTAGCCCACTCGACTGCCAATAGGGACTAAAATAACAAAAACAAAAGAAAGTTAAATAACAATGCCAACATATTTCTTCTTTGTGGGAAATCGATCAAGACAGTCGAGTGAGCTATGTACGTAGTTTATTGGCGAAAAATCAAGACAGTCGAGTGAGCTAGGTACCTAGTTTATTGGCGAAAAATAAAGACAGTCAAGTGAGCTAGGTACGTAGTTTATGAGAGAAAAATCGAGACAGTCGAGTGTGCTTTTTTACTTTCTTTTGTTTTTTGTTTTGTTTTCTATTGGCAAGTGATTATCTAGGAACTTGTAAATATTTTAGTTTTTTCATCGTATTTCCCGAACTATTGAGTTCAGAGAAAAATGTTATACGGATTTTTTGTAGATTCTATCAAAAGGAACAATTTTGGTTCTATAACATTTTCAGATATTTTCAGTTGTTTTCGAGATATTTGGAATTATCAGAGAATAACATTTTCAACACTTTTGTTCCATCTTCCAATCAACAAAAGGAAAAAATATTTCATGGTTCAGTGGAAGTCGATGAGTTTCATCTATCAATAATATTTGTTTTTCTTCTTCATGGTACCCTATGGGTCGTTCAAATTTTTTTTTCATATTTTTTACTTTATTTCCTGTACTATTGGGTTTACAGAAAAAATTATGGGATATAATTTGTAGGAAATGTTCCAGTGGATAACTTTGCACTTCTGATAATTTTCGAATTTTCCATTTGTTTTCGATATATATTGAATTGAAAGGATTTCAAATTTTGATGTTTTAATTTTCATTTGTTTTTCCATTTTCCGATGGATGCACGAAAAAATGGTGAAATAATAATTTGTTGCGTCATCAAAGAGGCATACGGTTCCGGAGATATATCGATTCATGATTAAACACAGAGTACAGACAGACCACACACAAAAACCAAAGTTGCTCAAAATTCGATGGGGATCATTTTCCCCAAAGTAACTATACCTCTATCTCGCTTAGTTTAGCATTTTTGGCAAGGCCGCAGAATACTCCACTATGTATAGCGTCGTAAAACAAGCATTTCATGTATTCTTTCTCACCTGTAGAACTCATACTCGGAAATCTATTGGACATCATCCTCCTGTGACTGAACCCCCTAAAATGTGTGCCCTTGTTAACGATCAACCTCTGTTCTGCACTCAGCTGATAGGGCAAAACCAGCCCTTCCGCCAAACTGTAGCATAACTTCAAAATATCCAGGTTCGAGTCCGTCACCCCAAACATTTTCTCCAGCTTGAGGGCCAACCAAACGTTTCCCCTATCCAAGGCCTCACACAGGGTGTTTTTGAGTGAGACGACGCACTCCACGGGCAGATCGGCGTCCGAATCGCCGATGGTTTTTATCATGTCGCACATTTCCTTGAACGATACGTTCTGCGGGTGTTCCTCGGTGATGACGTCATCAACGCGGGATTTCTCCTCCAAAGTGGCGTAAGCTAGCCATTTTCGACGTTCCAGATCGTATTTGGTGGACAGCTCGAATTTTCTCGACCAATCGTAGGCTAGCTTCAGCAACAAGTACTCTTCTAGGTTGCTTTGCACTCGGTCGATGTAGCTCAAGTAGAACTCTATGACGCAATCAGCCGTGATGTTGTGTTCCTGGAAGTGTTTGTTCGATTCGGTCCAGAAATCTGTGTCGCCCTCGGTCCGGCTTTCGAAATTCTTGTGCCATCTTTTGACTAGTATCAAATCCAAGGGTAAACCCTCGATTTTGGCAATTTTGAGCGCATGTTCAAACATAGATTCTTCCAATAAACCGTTCATGCAGTCCACCACAGCTTGCCTGGCGCTGTTCTCGTCGAAAATCGAATTTATGCTGAACCTAACCTCACTTTTTGAGTCGTGCACTATCCTCAGTATGTCCAGTAGCTTTTCCAGATCGGGACAACCGATAAACTCTTGCATATTGAGCGTACAGAGCTCTTGTAGCAACTTAATTTGCTCGTATAAAGAAGGGACATTGAATTCTATGGTGGAGGATAGTAGACGTAAGGCTGTGGTTTCTATCCAGACTTTGTTGTTTAAATAAGTCATTTCGTGGTCGGTGTCTGAGAGGACGCTGTATCTGCGGCATTTTTGTAGGGACGTTTTGAATGCTGCCAGTTTTGTTGTGAGCAGTTTTTTGTCGAAATTTTTGTCAATGCAGTAGTTCAGGAAAGCTAAGAAGTGTCTCAGCGGATTGGACTGAAAAAAGAAATCAAGATATTTGGTCTCCTCACAAAACGGGTAGTGTATGTAGATACCAAGACATTTTTGTTTGTTGAATGACAGGTACTCTAGCAAGATTCAAGTTCGAAGCAGATGTCACTGGAGAGGTCGGGTGTCATGTCCAGCTGTCAATATTTGTTTATGTATTCGCAGTAACGAAATTTGCTCACGGAATAATAATAATCGTTAACAAGATGCCTCGACGTTTTTGTGTTTCTTGGAATAAAAATAGAATACATGAGAACCATCCCTTCAGTTTCTATTTATATAATTTTCTTCTACAAAGAAAGTCTTTCTCCGATTTTTCTCCGGTTTGTTCTGTTCCTATTTGTTTCTTTCATATACTTTTAATAGTCATATATGAATTGTTGGAACCAAGAAATTAAGATTCTTTCATTACTCTTTCAACCTGTGATTTCTGTTGAATTGATTGGCTAATTTAGAGTTAATTTTGTTGACTTTGTTTTCACTCATAGCCTTATAGACAAAATTAAAAAAATCAGAAGATGTAAAGGAATATTTTTTGTGATGTAAAATAATGAATGAGTGAATGGGCAGTAATATTCTGGAACAATAGGTTGGTATTAGATGCGAGATTAGATGGTATTAGCATATCTTTTCTTACCGGTAAGAAGATTTTAAAGCTCCTCAACAGCGTTTTCGGGAACCTATGTTTCATACAGTTTTCCAAGAAAGTGGCTACAGATTGTCCACAAATGGCTATAGACTCGAAATTTGTGAAAGTCTCGTATAATTCTGATGAAACTGCTAGCGAAGTTAACCAATTCGTTATCACAGAATCAGGCTGAAATGAAAAACAAAACAATGGTGAAAGTATCAATCAGAATTCTTTTCGGAGAAATAAAACTCTCACAATTTGGTGAATATCCTTGAAGTTTGAAATCTTCGAACTAGATCAAATAGAAAAGTGGATAACAATTTTTGATTCACCAACCTATGAAGTAAATTCTCTTGAAATTTCAAGAAGTATCAACGACCATCTATCATAATTTCCACACATCAATACAAATGTTAACAATTTCATTAACATTAGAAACTTTCAGATAACTGAATATGAATTTTATTTGATAAGTGCCGTATTTGAGAAACCTCTGAGCATAAAAAAACCTACCCACCTCATAACTAGTAGCAAAAATAGCCAACAAAGGATTTCTGTACAACTGGCAGGCCTGCAGCAAAGCCCTAGGAGGATCAGTGCTGTTGTGGCACCTGATCAGCGTCTGCAGCAACGTAGTTTTGGTATTATTAATATCAATCTCGAGGAAATCGCTGCCAGAAGAACTTGCATTACTGCCGTAGCTCGAAGCAGAAGCATAACTAGAATAAATCGAGCCACTAGAAACCAAATTGTCTGCGCTCTTTCTCACTCCTATCCTCGACAGATAAGTCGTGCGGGAATCCCGCATAAAGACGTTTTGGTCATCGATGAGGATATCATGGCAAACACTGTGATAAACGTGCTCCAGCAAGCTGGGGTTTTTGAAAGACTGCACCAAGGGCTTGAGCTGGTCCACAGGATAATTTTTGAGTTGACTGAAAGTTAGAAAAGGCAGCCACATGTTTTTAGCAGCACAGGATCTCAAAAACAGCTCGGGTAGTCTCAGGTTGTAAGAAATTGTGAAGTTTACAACAGTGTCATACAGTTTCAAAGATTCAACAAAGTAAACACCTTCTGTGAATCTTTCAAAATCTATTTTTTCAAGAACAATGTATTCTAGTTTGTTTAAAATCGTGTTGGGGTCATTTTCAATGTTCAAGAATATTTCCCTGACATTTTCAAAATCAGCTTCATACTCGTGAATTTTAGTGGCGCCGTCTATAGCTGTTTTAAGAAAGTTTGCATCCAAACCAATCATTTCTAAAAATGCCACACAACTGGAAGTTAATTCTAGGCTTGTGAAGTTTTTTAGTGCAATCCTGAAAATTTTCATCTTTACATGTTTGATGCTTAGTTCTGGGATGCAGCCATGTTTCTTGTATTGATATAATAAGTACATTTTAGCAGCTATGCTTGGTCTGAATTGTTTGACATAAAAAAGGTAATTGACTTTTTTCAAGTAGCCATATTTTTCAACTAATTCTGAAGTGTTGAAGTTTGGTAAGGGGGAATTTTCAAAACGAAAAGCAAACATTTTTTTCACATTTACTTTGTAATGTTTTTCAAGGAGATGGTAAAATGTCAGTGTGCTATTTTCAATTATTGTTTCTCTGTTAAGAACACAATCAATCATGCTTAAATTCTTTGGTAAATTTGCAATAGATTTTGTCAACTCCAAATCTGATACTCTGAAGCTAGATTTTTCTAAAATATCAACAAATTCAACATCTTTGGTGAACTGTATCAGTGCCAATAGAATCAGAGGATTTTTTTGAAAAAACTGCTCCAAATCATCAGAAAAAAATTTAGATACATTCAAAATATTTTCCAGTAAATTATCAATGCTGAAATCATGAGTCAATTTTCTAAAATTCAAAATCAGTTCTAAATTGGTATTGTGGATTGAATTCAATTCAAAAACATCAAAATTTTCAACACATGCACTCAACACAGTGTGAAAATCATTAGAAATGCAGTATTCAACCAACAAATCTAAAAATCTTTCTTCACTTATATTTGATGTAGTCTTCCTAATCAGTTTGAAAATATTCCTTAGATTATCAGTCTGACTTATCCTCTGCAGAATATTCAAGAAACTGCCTAAATCTTTGTCACTAAACATCCCAAATTTGCTAAGCTCATTCAGGATCACATTAGAAGTATTTGTTGATATCACAGAGGTATTCAGCTGATTGATCATGTCATTTGAAATAGAATAAGATTTGAATGCTTTCAGCAGGTTTTCAGAAATGTCAGTATAATGCTGGTCACTATATTGCAAGTTGATCCATGTTTTCAGTAAGTTTATGTCATTATAAGCTAGAAGTTGCTTCCATAGGGCTTCACCATTAAGAAAATTAATTAACAAGGTGTCTGAAACATAGAAGAATACTTTTTAGAAACATTTGTTGATTCAATACATGATCATACCTTGTGTTCTCAGAAAAAGTTTAGCAGATATTTCAGCTTTCCACTGGGGATTTTGTTTATGCAAACACTCTATGCTATCTTCACTCAGTCTATACTTGGAAACAAGCAGATTATTTTTCAGCATCAAGTCCAGAAATTGCCATAGTTGAAGTAAATTATCATCTAGTTTATTCTGTGACTTCAAATGGTTTCCAATATACTCCCTCATTTCTGTGTTAGTTGTGGTGAAAAAAACTTTTGATAATTCTTCTTGTGGATCTACTCCAATGTTTTTCAAGACATGAGACACTTTGAATATTTGTTTACGATCTAAGAGTTCTTTTACCCATTTGAATACCTAAAAGGCATCAAAGAAATCATTACTTTCAGATAGTGTTTCATAACTAGGTTCTTACTTCATCTCTGAAATAATTTTCAGCTTCCTCAGTCCTAATATTTCTACGCAAGGACAAGAAATTGACTACTAGATCTACATGAATGCCTTTAGCACCAGCTTCTCTTGCTACTTCTCTGTCACCCTTTACACACCAAGCTGTCCACAGCCCTACATGTTCTTTACTCAAATAAGAGGGTGGGTCTGGCTTGGTTCTCTATAAAGAATACTGATTGAAATCTAAAAATTTGTAGGTTTTCAGCATTCTTACCTTGAAATCCTCAGTTGATGTCATTTTGCCTTCCAAAACATCTCATAAACAAAAAAAGGGCTTGGTTTGAATCCTCTTTGGATCCCATATGAATAAGAGTAGACAATGAACAAAACATACATTAACGACTTGGCTGAAGGCAAAGTTTAAACTTATCATATTGTACCCATGTGATTCACCAAAATAAACATATTTGTAAACATTTTTTTTATTTCTATTTTTATTGTTGTGACACTTGTGACAGTGACAAGTTTCAATTTTCAAGGTCAATTTGATTGTCAAATTCAAAATCATATGTTCGTTAAGCTTTGTTTACATGAGACCATCTGCGGCTGACGTCACAGCGTTGAAGGTCGAACGCTTGGAGGGTAAGCAAACCGTGTGGAGCTATTCTGTTCATGTTTGCTTTCATTTTACTGCTTTGTTACTGACGAATAAGTTGTTGTTAGTGTTTGTTATTTGTATTGTGATAGTCGTGTTGAACTTCTACTGCAGATATAATTTTTTTGTATGGTAGCGAATTGCGGCAGTACTGGAATGAGAGACAGTATCAGATTTTTTAGGATTCCCTCAGTTCTAGACAATAACAGAAGAGAAAACAGCATAGCCAATTGAGTGGAGTGACCTATAGAGACAGAAGTTGGTCCCGCTTTGAGGACAGCTATGCTTCATATATGAGTAGTAGATATATGGGGTCCCCACACGATGACTATTCTTTTTCCTCCTGTCTCTAGACCCGTATGACAACTTCAACTATTCTGTGCTTTAACTCCTTCCTAAGCCCTTCAAGCACCCTTCAAATTGTTGAGTATTCTGTGCTTCAAGTCACAGAATACTCTTCAAGTTTCACGTTCATGTTTCAAGATTTCAAGCACGCATGTCAAGTTCAAACAATGAAAGGTGAATGAATGGTACATTTTCATTTTTGAATATTTTTAAAATGAAAGTCAGCATTTTTTTGTGATGTTGCATAAAAAGAGAGGTGAATATAGAAGTCTTATTATAATATGATGTTTCAATATCGTCTACTTCATTATTAATATAGAAATAGAACCCATGTAACTATTTTCAGGTTATAAATAACCAGAAAGGATTTCACCAAATATAGAAAAAATATCATTATTCACTCCTTTCACTAAATATGGGCATCGTTATAGGAAGGTTCAGGGTAAGTTACGCATTTTTTCCTCTACTTTGTGTAGCTAAGGTAATCTAATGGTTTTCTAGAAAAAGAAAAGCACATATGAGATCTTGGAGAAACTGGAGAATGAGATAACTTCTATAGAAGAATTTGGAAGGAGTACTGAACAGTATAGAAAGAAAGTTATCTCAAGGTTCATAATTCTCTCTGTTTCTTCATTTCTGGTCTTGACTCTTGGATTATATTTTTTCTATCATAAGATTTCAACAGACCAACAATTTCTTTATTTTGTACCATCAGCTGCATTTCCTTTAGTGTAAGTACCAGAAATACTGATGGACATTTTTGGTGATAGTCCTAATTTTTCAGTGTATGGGTGATTAAAAAATTCCTGACATGGTACTATAGTAGAAAAATTCTCAAAAATGAGAAAAAAATAATAAAGCTCAAGGAAGAAAAGAGAAAAATACTGGAAAATGTCATGGAAACGGAGACATACAAGGTGGCAAAAAAAATTTTGGATAAATTTGGGAATGAGCCTGTCAAAAAATCACAGTTTAACCTCATAGAAGCAACACCAAAATCAACACCTTTGGCAAGCAAAGGAAAGAGTATTGTGCCCCTGTCACTTAGGCCAAATCAGACTGGTAAATATATTTTTTTAATATTAAACTATTAATCATGTCATTGTATTCAAATTAAACTAATGTGGTCATGCATAGGAACAAAGTTCTAGAATTCACCTGGAAGAATGTAGTCTTGCATACATCAACATAACATTTCACATTTGATTATTCATTAGGCTCAACTTCATGAGTGATGTATCATTGTTTATCATGGATACAGTCATATACAATGATTTATTAGCTCACTTAATCAAATTGAAATACCCCTTGGGAGGTACAAGTTGTTTTTCATATTATTCCTTCTATTTTGGGATGACCTTGCCTCATTTTTATGATAGTTCTGCATTTTGTTTCATGAAATTATACAACTTAATTCACTTGACAAATATTGAACATTACTTGCAAGTGCTATTTAAATTTGTAGATGTATATTTTATTGTTTTGTTTTGTTCCATATACCTATTAAACTTAATATTACATCTATCTGTACTTATTTAACAATAAAATAGGTATAAGGTTTTCAATGAAATCAGAATAATGTTTTGTTCATGACAAATCCAATACTGAACATTTGTTAATTCAACAACCTGGTTTGAAATCAGGAAATCTGATATGTATGATAAAGTTTTTGCCCTTCTAAGATATATTGCATTACAATCAAACCTCAAGTATCATTGAAACTCAGGAGACAAAATGACAACTATGACCATGATTTTTTGATCCTATTACAGAGTTTTTTACTTAGGAAACTAGATGAAATCTATTTTTAGAAATAATTTATGCACATTCATTTAGGTATGTCTGCATTTTAATGATTATTTAATCCACTTTAATGCATGCTATACTTGATGTTGACTTTATCTTTGTCAGCACAAGATTTGCTGAATTTGTATTTACATTGAACTGCAGTTTTTATGAATACCAGGCATAAAATGTTTCAAACATTTTTGTCAAATTCATCATTCAGTAAGAAAATCACAAAGAAAATGTTGATATATTTAGGATGTTTTATTAAATTACCTCAGAACTATTTTGTTCAACTCTTTCTTATTCATATAACAAACTTGTTACAAACTCATATTCAAATAATCTGTGAAAATATTGCTTCAATAAACCCTCATTATTATTTCCTTTGAATAATATTTCCTAAAAAAGGCATGTTCAACAGTTCAACAGAAAAATATCATGATTATTGCCTGAAATTACAATTCTTTATTTTATAATTCTTATGGCAATTCAATTTAATTTTTATTGAAATATTATAGGCTCACCAGCAAAATAATCACCAGAGTAGTTATTTATGTACCAAGGACGAAACATATCCTGTTATAGTGGAGCCTACAAATTATTAGCCGAGGCTAGCAATCAGGCGAGACTATAGACAGTGTTTCGCCGAGGTGCATATTGATTTTTTTCGTCATTCTTGAACACTCATATTCACATCATGGTCCTATTCAAACGTGAAATTTATCGGATTTGGTGAATAATTAATTTGACAACAGCCTAACCCGAGGCCTAACCATACCTAACCTAACCTAACCTGACCTGTTGCTGAGTCGTCGGGATACAATCTTGGTGCCTGGGTAATACTAATATTCTTTACTACCTTGGTGCATAAATAAATATCATATATCCCTCCAATAAACAAATATGTTTCTTGGGGGTTATAAAGAACAACAACAACAGAATTCAAATCCTCGAAAGTATTTTTCATTTTCAATTTTCCATCGAAACAACACCTATCCCGATCTTGTCGTTTTCTAAGGTCTAAGACAGCGCATAGCCATTCCCCAAACGGTCCCGAGCAGGCTCTCCTACGGCTCCGCTGCCTCCAATTCCCCCCTGCCGCTGTCGACTGCCCGTCTCGCCCCCACCAGGTCGGCGGGGGCCCTAACGATGACACCCATGGTGGCAATGACGCCCAACGTGGGCGCGATGGTGTCAGCAGGTCAGTGCCTTTATATGAAATAGTCGAGAGCGTGGATTTCGGTGAAAGATATATATACAGATTTTTTCCGTAATTTAATGACAAAAGTTCTTTTTTATTGAATCAAGAGAATTCACATCCTATGCAGATTCATCCTCTTATATATAAGGATCATATTTTGAATTTACACAAAGATAATATACAGAAAGATGTTAGATATGAAACAATAAAACCATTTCATCTAAAACATATTCAACCTGTTGTTGGTCTGCTAGCCACAACTGTGTTGTAGTAGTACATATTATGTTGGCAACTTTGTGTTTCATGACAGTTGTCTACATAACCTAAAATAGGACATAACCTAAGTTGAGATAACCTAAGATGATGGCATGTGGCGCGCTTTTGTAATGAGTGATAATTAGTAGAATTTTGTTCAATAAATAGTTAACAAGCTGAATATCTTCCATTATTACCACTAATAAAAACCGCCTTTCATCAGGTTATGGGCCCAGTACGCTTCCACTATACAATACAGAAAATACAATTTACTGAAGTTACTTTACAAACTATATTACACAGTATTAATAAAAGAGATAAATAGATAAAGGACTGAAGGAAGGTACATTTATAAGTGTGAGAAAGTCTTGAGAAAATATATTCATAGAGTACATTGAAGTAGTTGGACTAGTGCTGTTGAATTATCTGAACATTTTTTCAACTATAGTATTGAATTTGGTTTTAGTGCTTATAAAGTGTTCAAAGAATTAAGTGGACCACTCAAAAATTTTCGACGTTTTTTATAATGAGATAATTTTTTTTGCAAACCAACCGATTTTCAATCGGAATGTAGTGTTCAAAATATGCGTCCTTTCTGTTTGAGATTCATTGTTCGAAACTGTTCCAAGTTTTCCAGTTGCGACATAGTGCGAAAAAGTTTAGAAACTCCCGTACTCCCCAGAATCTTTTTCATCCTTCTGCAAATCAACTTTCTCAAATATTCAGAGCAATGTCCCAAAATTGTTTGGGAATTTCTGCTTTTCCTATAGAGGATGTGGAATATTGATAGTTTTTGATATTCTGTATTTTTATACATTTCTGTGGATTTAAAAAAGTACAGTCGATATTCAAACTGTACTGCACTGTGATACGATCGAATTCATCCACCTGGCTTCAAGAGCAGCAGAACTTTCGACAACAACGAAATGACCGTTTTTCGAATAATGTGTGAGATTTTACAGCTAAGTTTCAAATTGGCGACTGACATTAAATAGAACACCCCGTTTATCAAACCACTTTCAAAATCTCTCGATAACTCTTAACAGTTTCATCTGATACACTTCACTCTTAAATTTAATAGTTTTCGAAATATCAATGTTCAAAAAGTGACATTTTGGACATTTCAAGCATATCCAAAAACTCGAAGGTTGCTTTCAATCAAGTTAGCTTTAGAAAAAATCGAAATTTTACCAAGACAACGTTTTTTTCTCTCCAACACTCGAGTTTTTGGTTGGCTTTGAAATGACCGAAATGTCACTTTGCCCTTACAGGCGCTCCTGTTCCTGGCACTCCTCTGCAGATGCCGAGAAGCATTCCGCCCAGGGATCGCAGCGTCCTGGACAAGATGGTGGACTATCTGGTCGGAGACGGTCCGTCCAACCGATATGCCTTGATTTGTCGTCAGTGCAGCTCGCATAATGGTGAGGCTACAGCATCATTTTCATTTTGCAATAAGCAGATGGTTTCGCGGCCCTATATTGTGTGGTGCAGTGTATGTGAGCGACAGGAGCTAAGGGGAGGGCGAGTGCGAGTCAGTCGGGGTTCTGCACGCCAAAGGGCAGGCACGTACTGAATTTGTTATAGTCTTAGTGTTTCTCTTGCTTGTTGGCAAGAATTACAACAATCGTTGAATGCTGTAGTTGTATGTATTCTTAATACAATAGAAGTATTTATACGTGTGTCTAAGGATATACTTATTTATTCTTTGCTGGAACAACGAACCCAGTTTAACTACCGGAGAAAGAGAAATTCAGCGCATTTGGCGCCCAACGTGGGAGGAATAAATAAGTATATCCTTAGATACACGTACAAATACTTCTATTGTATTAAGGAGTTTACCTACCCGAGAAAGAGAGATTCAGCGCATTTGGCGCCCAACGTGGGAGAGAATAAATAAGTATATCCTTAGACATACGTACAAATACTTATACTTATACTGTCCAATCGCACTCGCCCTCCCCTTAGCTCCTGTCGCCCATATACACTGCATCACAAAATATAGGAACCATCTTACCATGGCTCTCGATTACCTTGAAATTTTGTTCCCATCAATTCATCCTATAAAAAATTATTGAAAATGCCAAAATTAATGAGCGAATAGGCCTTTTCATTTAGATATATTTCTAAGACGCATGTGCTCGTTTTTAGATCCAAAATTTGATTGGGTAATGGGAAGGTGAAGTCTTATTCACTATAGTTCCGAAACAAAATTCTGATTGGCCATTTCGAATATGGCGGTTTTTATTGACGTTATTGACGTTCTGCCAAATGTCAACAGTGTCAATCACCATGGGCATTCCTCATTGAGAAACACCAATAGCAACATAGTATTTTCGTTTCTATATTCTTGGTTTACTTATTATTCGTTACTGAGGAGTGTGGTGCAAGTGTTTTGGTGAAAATGGCCGCCATTGTCGTTGGTTGCGAGATGTAAACATAGTCATTTGTCATCTAAATGAAAAGGCCTATCTACCTGGAAATTCCTGGTACTGAAATATATTGCATTGCATGGATTATACAAAATTATAGGTGAAATTTCATATCCCTTCCAATAACGTACTTTCAAGCTTAGGTACACACCTATATGTATACGTCCTACCAATACCTACCTACCAATACCTACCTACCAATACCTACCTACCATAGGGAAGGGAACACATTTTGAACACAATTTCCTATTGATTTTAGTACAGGCATTAATGCCTTCTGGTCAATAATATTGAGAAATGAGAACAGTGAAGTTATGAAGAAAATGAGGTATTTTAACTCGGCAGCGTTGTGTTGTGTCAGTTGCTTCATCTCTTTCTCTTGTAAACATAGCCACATCAGCAATTGAGTACTTGAGATAGAATTGAATGTGATCAGCAGTGAATCAACTGATCACCAACTACATAGTAATTTCGGATCATGGCATAACTTGCACTATATCGCACATAAGATCAATTCAAGAATTTCATAGAGACCTGGCAACAACGGCGTGCTTCCCAGAGCTGTCACAATCTCTAACCGTCTCAATAAATATGTGGTCAAGATAACGTTTTCGACTTCCCTTCATTACAGAATAGCGAAGAACGGTCAAATTTTACGATACTGGAAAGGACTATTGGGGGATACAATGTTCACATCAAGTTTCCTTATAGAATTAAAATTTAGTCGAACTATGTGCCTAAATATCCAATTTCTATCAACATTTTATTTAGGTATGGCTCTTCAGGAAGAGTTCGAATACCTATCTTTCCGATGCTGCTACTGCCAATCGCTCAATCCGGCTCGCAAGCAACGCCCCACGGGCCCCAAATTCGAGCCGCAGACTCCTTTAAAAGCCCTAAATCCATCTGAGGACTCCTCAGATTCCGATACCGACTCGGAACAACAAGACACGATCGAGAAGGGACCTAGAAGGGACAGTTCCGATACGGCCAGATGCTCGGATTTCGACAAACTGTCCGATATCGAGACGAAAGAATCAGAAGTGGGATCGGAATCAGAAGTGGGATTGAAATCAGAAGTGGGATTGAAATCAGAAGTGGGATCTAGATCTGCAATGGAAGACTCTGATGGGAATAAAGATCGAAAAAATGTGGTCAGAGAGTCGGGGGATGCTTCTGGTAGTGCTCAAGATTCGGCTCAAATAGACAGTCCCATGGATGTGGATACTGAGAATTCGGCTGGGACTATCGAAGATGTGATAGAGCACTAGGAGTAATAATAAATAAGACTGATGACTTGATCTACAAGGTGGCTGCAAATATCTCATAAACGAACACATACATTTGTTGAATTGTTTTTGGTCTTTGTAGATTTGCAAGTTGAAATTTTGGATAGTTAGAAGTGACTATCCTGTAATAATCTTGAGAAAATGTAAACGATTTATTTGCTTCCAAGGTTCTAACAGTCTGAAATGTTCTAGTCCTGGTGCAGAATTTCGATTTTTTATGAATAATTCCACCTTATTTATATAATATTGACATCTAATATACAGCATATTTTTTGAAAAATGGTAAGCTTCACTCCTTCCTCACTGGACATTTCCATAAGTATCGGCCCATTCTCAGGGTTTTATGTGTGTTGTGCGCGTCTCTAATTTATTTTTCTACTCCTTAGCGTCGACAGTTTGAAATGGCAACACTGTGAAATCTCAATCATCAAATTGGTGATACAATTCATCAAGAAATCTTTCATGATATAGTGACAAATAGGATATTTTATATTCTTGATTCAAGGAACTTCCAGATCGGAGCCAACCACTAACTTGTTGATAACGAAGAGATTTTTGTTATTGGTTTTACATTGTTGCCATGTGGTTGTCACAGTGTGAATTCATTAATTACCTACTTCAAAGTATACTACTCATGTAACATTGCCTGTTGATATTTCAAAAAACACCCAGTGTAAAATTGAATTGTAAATAAAATTGTAAATAACTTTCGTTGATTTTGAGATGTTGTGAACGAACTTTTGCTAACGCATTTTATTAGGGTTTTTCGATAGGTGCCTTTTCCGCATTTTTATACTTTATCAATAAAGCTTACTTTGTCCATAAACGTTTTATCATTGATTTTTTCACTATGCTTTGGACCAAGGAGCAGGATGTACATAGAGAAGGTAGGTAACTATATAATATTGCGGTTAAGTCGAATTTGTTGGCAGGTCAACGAGTGCATATCGCACTTTCGATCCTATGAATAAAATGAATCTTCCCTTCCTCAACAGATAAGCCGCCATTTGGAAAAAAAGTTAGTGATAGCAGTAAATGTACAGCAAGAGTTTCAGACCATTTTGGACAGTTTTCCATTTTGAGTTCCATAAGAAAGGGCTCTTTTGTTCTAAATGTGGCTAAATTTCAAGTTTCGAGGAATTTTTGATGGAAAAACCGTTGATTGAAATAGTACGCTTAGCATAACGGTAACATATCAACGGAAAATCGGAAATACAGTCATTGCCCGCCAATGCAGCTTTCTTGCTTTTCGCGTCATGCAGTCTGATTGGTTACGCGTAAATGAGAATTGCTGCACTGCTTTTCAATTATTTTCTTCGGTTCCCTAAGAAATTACCTCTATCATTGTCGATTTGGTTGAAGTTTGCATCGAACAATCACGAGAATACTGAAAATAAATAGTATAAAATAATGCATTCAACAGATACAGAGCTGATAGCTGCATTAGATAAGTAATTCATCAATAACCGAAAATAGCACAGTGAAAAATGAGATAATTAGGTAGGTACCTACTTCAGTGATACTGCAATGATTCACTATAACCATGAGATTACTCTCAGAAATGAGGGGTGAGGGGTTTAATGAAGTTGCATTCGAAATTTCTACATTATTTCCATTTAAAAAAAAACATTATTGAAAAAGCGAATCACTATCAGCCTCGACATTAAATGCCTCCACAGTACGTGACAGTACTTTTTTCAGGGAAGAAGACACACATTATCCATTCTGCATAAGAAAGGAGACTACTTTTTAAAACATTCTAACCTCACTTGGCCTAAATAAAGGCCTAAATGGATCATCTCGCTAAAAAGGTTATTTTTCGAAGAAAACAATAAAAAAGCGGCAGTCACTGAAAAACACGGGTCACTTGCGTGGAATCTGAACCCACAGAAAACTGCGCCACACAGATACTTGAAAATTATAGTATGAAGAAAGAATATTTATTTACAGTATAGGTACCTAGGATCTTATACCTATAGGTATATGGTGAGTTGATTTTTTAATTGAGATATTTTAATCAAGTCATGGAAAAAAATTCTGAATTGAGAAAATCCAATCATACGAAGGCGCTGAAGGGCCACATACTTTTTTTTTTGAATCCCGACTTCAAAAGTCGGGATTAAAAAAAAGAATAGGTGGCCCTTCAGCGCCTTCGTAGTTACCCATGGAACAGATTTACAAACCTTAAATCCATTTAAATCTGTAGAGGACCAGGGCTGACTAGAGACTAGATTTCGATTTTCTTTCTCATTTAGACCTTGGGTTTTGGGTTCATCAGGCATGTTAGTTTAGACACTTCAGGCTTAATTCTGGCGCATCTTGGATTGTTCTGATTGGTCTGTAGGAATCGCCCTATGCATGATTATTATTGGTTGGGCAAAAAATCTTGACTGACCGTTACTCCCTTAGATCATACAGGATCCTGTATGATCTAAGATTACTCCCCTCTCCTCTTTGCCGTCTGCGGCCCGGCGAGTGCGGCGTCATGGCACAAATATAGGTTAGAAGCTGGATGTTGATGTTACCAAAAATCCTAATCAGAAGTAGGTAGAAAGACTGAAATCTTCATAATGAATGTGATGGAGGAGAGTGGTTTGTTGGTGGAGAAATTGGAGGAAACATTGAAGCATATTAAGAAACTCAGTATGCGCACATACTTGAAATTTTTGCCAAAAATCGTGAGTATTATTTATTTATTTACATTATTTTGTCCCGATACTTCTGGTGCCACTAGGAAATTCAGGAATGATTGGTGAAATCGAAATTGATTTCTTATCCTATTATTCTATAAGTAGAAACATTAGGTCATATAATTCACCAAAATTTGTTGTTTGAATAGGAACTACATGCTCATCTGAATGGTTCCTTGAACGACAAAATTCTCAAGGAACTAGGGTGTGAAGAAGATTCTATAATGCAGTACAAAAAACTCACCCAAAGCATTGATAAATCAGACAATACCTTACAGGAATGTTTTGATGTCTTCAAAATTGCCCAAAATGCCACAAAAACTCAAGAATCTGTTTACTTAGCCACTAAAAGCGTTATTGAGGACTTTGTTAGGGATGGAGTGGTTTACTTAGAGTTGCGAACCACTCCAAGATCAGAAATCAATATGTCAAAAGAAGAATATATTGAATCAGTTATCAGAGGCATTGAATCTCTTTCTGGATCCAAAGAGAAAATTTTTGTTAAACTTATATTATCCATTGATAGGAGACATGACAAGAAAACATCAGAAGAGTCCTTGAAAATCATCCTAAAAATGAGAGAAAAATATCCAAACATTATTAAGGGCATAGACTTCAGTGGGAACCCAAATGCAGGAGAATTTGATGCTGCTCTTTTTGAAGAAGCAAGAAAAAATGGTTTGAAGACATCCATACACTGTGCAGAGATACAAAATGATGATGAAACTAAGAGAATTCTGGAATTTGGACCTGATCGTATTGGGCATGCTACTTATTTGCACCCACTTTATGGTGGATCACAGGAAAATTGGGATTTGTATTGTAAGAAGAAAATACCAGTAGGTAAAAAAAGTTCAAATACATAAAAATCACATCATGATACTAGCAAGCTTTTCAGGTAATGAACCTATTCAAAGCTTAATGTTTTTATGCTCCCTCTAAATACCCACAAGGAATTTCCTGATTGTTTCTTCCAATTATTGAATCTATTATAATATGAAAGGAACTCTACTATATGAAGCCAGATGTGAATTGATGATGGAATTAATTTGGAACTGTTTTTGATTTTTCAGAATGTTGTTTGACATCTAATGTAGTTTGTGGAACTTCACAAAGTTTCCCAGAACACCATATTCAAGAATGGATAAATGGAAGTTTGCCATTCTCAATAAATGTAAGAACACATATATTTCAATGGATTTTCCAAATTGTTTGCCTTATTGTGAAAAAAAAAATAGGTTGAATAGTTCAGAAAATCAGCTAAAGTATGGATGATTATACAGAGGATAAAATGTTTGTTTCATTTACACTCAGTTCCAAAAAAGTGACGCACTTGAAATTTGACCTATCTTAAAAAAAAAAAAAAAATAGTAGGCCGATTTTTATTTTTTTTTATTTGTTGGTAGGTGATGCATTTTTCTTTGAAAAAAAAAATGAAGAGGTGAACATTTTTTCAAAGCCTTGATGGTGGTGGAATAACTCGAACCATGATTTATTCTTAATTTTTGACTCACCCTGTGTTAATTGAGTAATGGTATACAAAGTGCTCACACCCTATATCTTTTGTGAGCATTTTGTTTTTTATTCATTGATTTATCTCAAAAATTTTCCGAATTACATCTTTTCTTGCTGAATCCTTGCAGATTACCAACTTTCTGAATTTATGGAGAAACAATTTTCTAATGAAATAAAATGATACCAATAATTTTAAAAAACATTTTTATTAAACACAAAATTATAAATTGGGATGACTGCCTAATACCATGTATTGCCTCCTGTAGCAACTCTAAGAACTTCTAATCTACAAGGCATACTGGAAATTAAGTTGCTTTCCATTCATTGGTATACGATCCCATGCTTCCACTAATGCATCTGCCATTTCTGCGAGACATTCCTGAGACCTCTCGCGAGAATGTACCCTTCTCCCTAATTCATCCCACAAATGTTCTATAGGATTCATATCGGGGCTTCTCGCAGGCGATTGTAATGTGGTAATACCAGTAGCTTCAAAGAAGTTTCGCACTATTGCTGCGGTGTGTGGTCGGGCATTATCCTGCATCAATATAAAATGATTGCCCACTAACTCTGCATAAGGTAAGACATACTGCTCTAAAATGTCAATGTAAATTTAGGCATTCATCGACTGCCTCACCGGAAAAACATGAAGGGGTGTCTTTCCATTCATTGAAATCCCTCCCCACACCATAACGGACCCACCTTTAAAACTTTCGCATTCTGTTATTAAATTTTGATTAAACCGTTCACCAGTTCTTCTCCACACTCTTTTTCTTCCATCCACCATGTTAAGGCAAAACCTTGACTCATCCGTAAACAAGACATTCGACCATTCAGCAATATTCCACTGTCCATAATTTTCAACAAAATTTCTTCTAGCAGCACGATGTTCGGGCAATAATTTGGGACCTTTTGCAGGTCTCCTAGCTTTTGAATTAACTCTTTTTAGACGTCTACATACCGTCTGCTTACTTACTGCAACATCACGAATTTGGCGAAGATCTTACTGAACATTTACCGCAGTATTTGATCGATTCCGTAAAATCCGCAATCTCAAGAAGCGATCATCTCTTGGAGAAGTCTTTCGGGGGCGATCAGAACCGACCCTCCGAGCGGTGCTTCCTGTTTGTTCGTACTTGCGGATTGCTCTACGAGCAGTTGCTTCATGAACTCCCACTGCACGAGCGGCGTAACGTTTACTACGCAACTAATCTTGCTACTTGTTCAGGATTTATTTGAGGCATTTTACGTAATTTTAGTCAATAAAACAAGACACTTAATTAATGACACAACAACAGATGGTCAAATATGGAGGCATACAACAAATTAGTTGCTATGGCAACGGCATTTGTTTTTTTAAAGACAATGTGATCCTACCAGAGTACAACCTAATCAATTTTGAGTACTCTGATCCTTCAATAAATTTAATTTGTGGGATAAGCATAAGGTATCAGCAAAAAAGCTGTAATTCGGAAAATTTCAGGGATAAATCAATGAATAAAAAAAACAAAATGCTCGCAAAAGAAGCCTCTTTTGTATAGGGTGTAAGCACTTTGCATACCATTACTCAATTAACACACATGGTGAAAAATTAAGAATAAATGATGGTTCTAGTTATTCCACCACCATCAAGGGGGCTTTGAAAGAATTTTCACAAATATCAAGTGCGTCACTTTTATTGGAACTGAGTGTATATAATCATTATTTTGTTTTTAGACTGATGATAAAGGCGTTTTCTCAACAAGTCTGAGCAGAGAGTATCAGCTAGTACAAAGACACTTCAAGTTAACTGGCTCTAATCTGTGGCAAATTTCCTATGATGCAATTGATTATTCCTTTGCATCAGCAAAAGAAAAGGAAAAAATGCAATACTATTTATTGCAATGGCTTTATCTTTGCCATGACATGATATACAAAAAAGTGGACCCAAATATTGATGATGATTTTTGTGAAGGGATTGCAGATGGTTTTTGGAATAAATTGCATATGCTTGAACAGCAATGAATGGATTTGTTTTTTGTTGATGTTTCAGAATTTGGGATGGTTTCTTGAAATATAATAAAACTGTCGTAAAAAAGAATAGTTTTGTAATTTTCAAATAAAAAATATTACATTTTTAAAGCTATTTCATTTAAATGCTATAAAAAATAACAAAAACAAAATAATTACTTTGTACCCCTACAAAGTGTTTTGCAAAACATATTCAAATTTCATACACAATATGGTGTTTTAATAATTTTTATTCTTAATAATGTTATTGCTCTTTTATTTCTTCAATATTTGGTTAATGTTTCGGCTTGTATACACATATATAGGACATTTACATCAATCATAAATTTGTATATTTGTTTGGCATTCTTCCACAGTTGTCATATTTTACTAGCTGAACATTGTACTCAAAGGGAACAATGCCTATATAATATTTGTTTTTATATACAGGGTGTCCCACTTACCATGCTCACCATAGGTATCTTTTTATCGGTGAGAGATACGAGGTCGGTTAAATGACACCAAATGTGGAGTTTGTCAAGGCCAACTATAATGTGAGAAAATATTTTGTTAAAATCTATTCGTTTTTGTTTTATACGCAAAAAACAGATTTTGGTCATTTTCATGTCTCCTCCGTAACTTCTTTATTTATGAAAATATTCAAATAGGAATTTCACATTCTCATGGCAGTTTTTCAAAGTGATTTCGAAAAAAATATGAAATTTATACCAACTCTTCTAGAATTTGAGATATCAGCACCAACTTTAGTTTTTCAAATGTAGCTAGGTCATAGCTCACTATGACTTATTAGTTACAAATAACTTTTTTTTCTCTTACAGATGATGTGTCGCAGTAATAGTTTTGTGTTGATAACAACGGAGTAATCGTCATTTATACAAAAACAAAAAATTATTTGGAAGCCGCCATCTTGAATTTATGAATTTTAACAGAAAAATCATGATCTCCGACCTCAAAAACCCCCACTTACCAATTTTGAATGGAATCGGACCAAATCTTGTCCGCCATCTTGGAGCAGCCATTTTTTACAGATTTGGTCCGATTCCATTCAAAATTGGTAAGTGGGGGTTTTTGAGGTCGGATATCATGATTTTTTTGTTTAAATTTATAAACTCAAGATGGCGGCTTCCAAATATTTTTTTTGTTTTTGTATAAATGACGATAATTCCGTTGTTATCAACACAAAACTTTTACTGCGACATATCATCTGTAAGAGAAAAAAAAGTTATTTGTAACTGAGTCATAGTGAGGAGCTATGACCTACATTTGAAAAACTAAAAGTTGGTGCTGATATCTCAAATTCTAGAGGAGTTGGTATAAATTCCATATTTCTTTCGAAATCACTTTGAAAAACTGCCATGAGAATGTGAAATTTCCATTTGAATATTTTCATAAATACAGAATGACTTACGGAGGAGACATGAAAATGATCAAAAACTGTTTTTTGCGTATAAAACAAAAACGAATAGATTTCAACAAAATATTTTCTCACATTATAGTTGACCTTGACAAACTCTACATTTGGTGTCATTTAACCGACCTCGTATCTCTCACCGATAAAAAGATACCCATGGTGAGCATGGTAAGTGGGACACACTGTATAATATACAGCATGGGGTCTGGTTTTTTCAAATTATCCACAACATATGATTCCCTCAGCCTCAACTAAATGATTTTTTGTCAATCACATTTGATTGTCGATTATAACTAGGGGTGACATAGTTTCTCATAATTTGTACATTTTTCAACAGTTAACCAGGGCCCCAAGGGTTATAAAAATGACTAGAATTAAAATAATATTGAAAATCGCTAGGGTGCTTTTTATTTGAACGAAAATAAATAGATTCATATTGCTACAACCATAGCCATTTTCAAAATGACACCCTCTGTATACTGTATTATACAAAATATATCAGCAAAAAACAAAGGATGGTAATACATTTTTGTGTGAAGACCTAATAACTAAGTATAATAATTATATATATGGTGTGAATTTTGAAAATGGAATGATTTTATAATGTCTCAAACCAAAAATTAACAAAAAATTCTAGAACAAATCAATTTCATCTTTTGAAGACCAAAAATGTACGATTATAGTCTCAGAGATGCCCCTTCAATAAATGAAATTAACGAGTCCTAGGATATTTTCCAAATTATTTTTGGTTTGGGAACTTTTGTTTTCCTCCGATTGGCAGCAAATATCAATTTTGCTGACACATATCGATCAGCAAAGTATTACTTTTCCTGCCTAGGCAGCAAAGTGGTTACTTTGCTGATTGATATGTATCAGCAAAATTGAAAATCCATAAATCGTTTATAATTTCCTTCATATTCCATCCGAGACTTCTCCGGCAACAAATTCAACTCTATATTTTTTGCCACCTCCATTATTAATGGAGGTGTAAGTATACTTCCAGGTCGCTATCACTGTCCATTATATAATAATTTAAATATACCGATATTTTTTCGCACAACTGTCACAAATTTCATGAATTGTCAAACCAACAACTGCGATCTCTATCAAATTTTATTTTAATTGAACACTATACAGGAAGAATAAAGAGATTGTGGGAATTGTATTGATTCGCAAATACAATATTCTTCCATATCATTATGAACAATCGGAGAAAAAATTATATGTTCAACTCGTCAGCAAAGTAGATTGACTGCCTTAGCTGGATTCCTAGCCTCGCTACGCTCGGCTATGAATTCAGCCACGGCAGTCAATCTACTACTTTGCTGCCTAGTTAAACAAATAACTATTTCCTGCAACCGTCTGAAATAAAATAACACTTATTCTGGGTATCAAAAAAACAGTTGCTAGAATGTATGGTTTGTTTTTATACTCTTCCTTTCCATACAGTAGTGAAAATTTTTGTGGAATATTGCCCTAAATGACTGGCCTTATTAACAGTTGCAGAAAAATAGGATGTTAAATCATGATTGAAAATGGCTTTGTTCAACCAAAAATGCCATTCTCATTCTTAATGAGGCAATATACTTATTTTACTGTCAGTGCAATTGTGAGTTTTATACATACACTAAAAAAATAAACAATTCAAAATTAAAAAGATCTTGAATTGGGAAAAAATATTTATAGTCCAATTTATTTATATTCAATTTGGGAATGAAATAACCATCAATTATCTATTTTCAATAGAAGACTAGCTCATGAATAGACACTAGGTTATTTGATTTTTATGTGTGGTCTTCCACTGGGCAGAATATAAATAAAGAAAATGATTTTTTTGATAGTTTCAAAATCAAGTTAGTTTTGAGTTGAAAACATATTTTTTCATTTTTTCTGCATATGAGATTTTTCAAGAATTTTTTCCAAGGAATCAATATAATTAGCCAACTCAAGAGGATATTATTTATTTTCTGAGATGAAAAACCTCATTATGGCATGCTTTGACTTAGGTGAAAACGATAAATCTCAACAATAAACTATACTATAAAAAACGAGTTTAAATGCAGTGATTGGTCAACTATGATTATAAAATCAAATACCTTTGAATATCATTTTTCAGATTGAAAAACTGCTTTCATCTTTCAGATGAATATAGGGATAGTATACAACTAATATAATTAGTTCAATTCTTTTTAGGAAAGACTTTGGTTACTTACTATTTTTTGTATTAATTTCACGTTCAAATCAACTATTATAGCTATGCTACACTAGAAAACTAAAAACAAAAACAAATCTACTCTATAACAATGCATGGCAGTACCTAACTTAGATAAACTAGGTTTCCAAATTTGTAATGGTTCGATTCTTGTCAGGAAACAAAAATAAGTCCATCGTTTTCTATTGGTCGAAGTTGGCTTGAAAAGTTTACCAATACTATTGTGGTGGAAAAACAAAAACAGACAGCTACAGAAAGCTACATGGTAAGTTGAAAACGAATAATCCAATAGACACATTGAAATAACTTGATGATATTGAATGTTTTTGAAAATTGTAGTGGAAGACAAAAAAAAAATTTTCATGGAAATTCACACTTATTTATGGCGAAATAGCAGTTATGAAGAAAGATTTCAAATCCTGGAAACCTACAAATTATTTCATGTTGGTCAAGATGACTCTTGCTGTATAAAAAATAAGAAGCAACAAAGAATAATGATAAAGTGATGAAAATATCAAATTTCTCAAGTGTGCAATTGAATCGGTGAGAAAAAGAACAGTACAAGTCCAAAATTTGACATTTCGAACTGGAATAGCCATTTTGTCTGTAATACGAAGCTGCATCGAATGAGTCGAGAAACAGTATTAATATCACTATATCAAGGCGTATGACGGCGCTCATCGTGAAGCGTTGAGCGTAAGAACAGAACAACTTTACAGAGAGTTTTTCTTGTTTTCCCAAAACTGTAACATTTGGAATTGTACTGTTCTTATTCTCACCGATTCAATTGGATTCTTTAGTAAAAAAAGACGAAGTACACTCTAGTACGGAGAAACATTTCTTCCACAATCATCCCCGCCCGCCTGTCGCGAATGACTCACCCCTTGCTGTGGCCGCGCGGCCAGTGCTTCGAGCCGTACGGCCCAAATTTATTCTCCCTCCTGCCTTACCTCCATAGAAATCATATTATATATATAGTGACACTCCAATTCCGATCAAGTTTCACAGCAAAAAAGCGTGTCGCATATGCGACTTATTTCATGATGTGCGCATGCTCAGTTTTAGGTTCCTTTGAACTACAACGTTGCCAGATTTTCAGAAGAGTTATTGATAACACTTTTTTAATCGAGATTAGACTATAGATATTTCACATGTTTTGTACAGAATTTGTTTTTAAAATTTGTTTTAAAATTTGTTTTAAAATTTGTTCTATCCGTCATTCGGTTGCCCCCTTACGAGCAACCCTCAGAAGTCTTCGAAAGACTTGTGCGAGCAAGGAATGACGGGGGCCTTACCTTTTTAACGTGTGATCCCAAACACTTTCTTAGGCCATCAGAAAAAGTCTGCGTTCGTGGGTCTCGAACCCACGATCGATACCTCGACGTGAATCGATATTGAAGCATCGAAGCACTGAGGTACGCCGGCCAGCGGTACAAGACCGTAAGGATTTGGTTTCCAGCCTGTGATAAATTGGTGAAACAAGAAAAGACACTTCAAAATAAAGACTAAAAAATTATATACTCACTGCCGTAAAGATATAATGCGGTTAGTCAGTCTTAACCCAATGCATCTATGGATGGAAAAAACCATTTGCTTTAAAGCTGTTCATATATATTATTATAATCAACTGCCTGTTGAAATAAAAGAATGTAACAGCAAATTATTTGATCAAAAGTTGAAGAAATATCTTATGAGTATATAAACTTAACGGCTGATGATTATTAAGTTCATGATAGAACAAGTGCTAATCAAATTTTGGATCAACTAAAACCAGATATATGTTATATGTTGCTTTTATTGCTGAAAATGCTATTCCCAGTAAACATTTCCGTCCAGAATATATAGGTATATTCTAAGAGAAATAGGATGTATGTAAAATCAAATTCAGTCCCACAACTGTACCTGAGGACTGATTATATTCATCATGAAAGGTTAGTCACATAATTATTAAGATTGGAATGTTACCATAGAATAGGCACTTTGGCAGAGAAAGATGTAAGGTCCACCAGTTGGTTGAAACAGACCAATTTTTGAACCATTGTTTATGTGAGTTTAAATGTTGAAATTTTTTCTTATTCAGTACAATGATTTTCCTCAAACCAGCACTGTTCAAAATGAACCTAATTCTGCATTAAAGATCGGCTCATATACCTTTTGCCACACTTTTAATTTATTGCATTGTCATTCTAGTGTCCCTATTATATAATACGATTTCTATGCTTATCTCCTGCACCAGCGTGTGGCAGACAACAAATAATAATAAATAATAGAATAATTGGACTCTCAAGTAAAAGAGTTCGGACACAGCTGAACTTCTGTCCTTTTCTATTCTTTATATTCGCGATAGAAAATAAGCGTACGCCACCTATCGGAGTTCTTGAAAGTTGTCGAAGCGGCCTTTTTACTTTGTTTTCATTGGTTCACATAATTATGATTTTTGTTTGTGCTTATTGGTCATATCATCAAAACAAACCGCTCAGAAGTGTTGAAGTTGTTGGCGTCTTTTCAATTTCCCTAGTAGCGCCTGATTGTCAGATACGATTTTAGAGGTTACATTTTCTGTCAAATCAATCATTGTCGTAGATGGAAAATAGAAATATGTTTAAACACCCACTTCAATTTATATAGTGATACACTTTTCGCAGAACCATATAGTTAGAAAAATAAAAAAAATTCATGTAACAACATTTCAATATGACAAAATAGACACATATGGATATACTTATAGCTAGTTCCTTATTGTATGTAAAACTGTACCCGGGTGATAAAGATTAAAACATGAAGATTGTTTTGATTTTTCAGCTTTTGCTGCATTCACTTTTTACTGATAATTTTTCAATTTGGTCTGTATTGAAAACGCAATTCAATGATATTATATCACGTTGCAATTAACTTGATTTCCTCAGTTTCGTTATCAAATTTTTTATTACGTAGTTTTGCAATCAATTCATCTAACAAGTTTCGCATTTTGTGATGATATTGGCATTTTTTTCATAAGTCTGTTTTGTAAATCAAAGGACTCACCTCACAAATTTTGCCTGTCTTCAAATTAATTTTCCATCCAGACCCTTTTATACATTCCTTCCATAAGGAAAAGGCTGATATTTCCGGATATTTCCTTTAGAAAATCAAAGAAATGAAATCGCCATTCCCTTCAGAATTCCCGCAATCCATTACATAGCAGGACATTTTCATTCATGCTTTTTTCTCAATAGTTTAAATTCAAAAACACCAACAGTTGTCGCTTCTGTGTCCAAACTCTTATCTAACTATAATACCATCTAGTGAATCTAGCGCCTACGACTCGAAATTCTGCCACTTGCGCTTGAACACCATCATCGCTAAGATGCTGCACAGGCGCCACCACTTTTTGTGGCCGCGCGGCCGGTGCTCCGAGCCGTACGACCCCATCTTATTCTCCCTCTTCTTCCACCTCATCTCGCGCACCAGCGTGTGAAAGACAAAGAATAACAACTAAAAGAAATATTAAATTCCTCAAGTGTGACATTGGATTTCCTAGTGAAAAAAAAAAAGGTGAAGGAACACTTTAGTACAAAGAAATATTTCTTTCACGATCATCCCCATAATACCTCCACTCGCCTGGCGCTTACGACCCGAAATTCTGCCGCTTGCGCTTGAATACCAGCGCAAAGATGCTGCGCAGGCGCCACCATTTGCTGTGGCCGCGCGGCCGGTGCTCCGAGCCGTACGGCCCGATCTTATTTTCCCTCTCCTTCCGCCTTATTTCGCGCACCAGCGTGTGAAAGGCGTCGTCGACGTAGGTGCGAAGACAGGCTGATGTTTCGTAGAAGGGGCAGCCGAACTGCCTGGCCAACGTTTTTCCCTTGAAGGGAGGAAATAGAATTGTGGTTTTTTATACTTACAGGGTGTCCGGAAAGGTCATATCGTAAATGATGGGGCTGAGAGAGTGAGCCAAATGGCCAAAATAATGTTAGTACGATACGGAGTTATTGACCTTGAGATAAAAAAAAGAATTTCATGTATAACTTTCAAACGGTTGCCATATGGTATCAATGATATATTCGGGCAGGTGAAAAAACTAATACTAATGCACCTTTCCATACGTAAACGGCTTTTCAGTGATTATGTTTTATACAGGATGGAACGAATTTTTTCCGATTAATAAAAGCATTTCTGACAGAGGTGACAAATTGGACATTTTGCTTTCACCGTTTGATCCCTTCATCTTTTTTTCTACAAAAATGGTATGCCTCATTTCAATCAATATATCTTGTACCTATTTAGAGAAAATCGCATTTAAAAACATACATCCCAACCGTTTCAAAACTACATTTATTATCAATGGATGGATAGGACTAATTGGTAGCTGGCGTAGCTGCTTAATTATCTTAAATCATTAATGAAACTTTGAATGTGAATAAATACTCAACTTTTTTCATGAACATCCAGATAGAAGAGAATATTGTAGGGATGAGCATTTGAATCGAATTCTTACATCTGCACACGCCGTAAGAAATAATAATGATCTCCAGTACAACGCAGATGTTTAGACAACTTTAGAAAATGCGTTGAAGTTCAAGATGCACATATTGAAAACAATTTTTGATCTTTTTGTCTTCACTGATGTCATTGAATAGGTAAATGGAGCTGTTATTACCTCTGAAATGGTTGGAATGTATGTTTTAAAATGCGATTTTCTCTAGAACGGTACAATAAGGTATCCATTCAAATAAAGTATTACATTTTTGTAGATCATTTGATTCCTTCATGTTTCATGTGAAATTTGTCACCCGAGTAAAAAATGCCTTCAATGGAATAAATGCGTTTGGAAAGGAGCATTAATATGAATTTATTTACCTACCTGAATATCATTAATACCATGGCAACCGTTTGAGAGTTATGCCCACTCTCTTTCAGCATTTACGACGACCTTTCCGGACACCCTGTATAAGAAGCAAAAACTCAACAAGATATTTTAATAAATCTTCAAAAAATAAACAACAATGGTAGATAATGGGAGAAAAACAACTACTTTCCTGGGTAATGCCATGCAGAACATTGAATTAATCTATTCATTGAATCATTGATTTATTGATTTTTGCAAAGGAATAACAAATAACAAATAATGATTACAAGTGTTTCTCACACCCATTGGGTATAAAAACAAATTCCTACATTTGGAATTATACCCACATTGAACCTGAATTAATTATAATAATCTGTAACCAAATATGGCATAATATACCAGGTGCATGTCCTGATAAAGAATATTGTAAATTTTGTTTCAACTCCAATAGGAAACACTTGGCATTTTATATAATTTTATTATTATATTTTATAAGGGAAAGAGACCATCATGGGTACCTGAGGAGAATAGGGAGAGGAGGTGGGATTTTTTTATACTTTTGGGGGTACAAGTTCTTGGCAATACTGCCATTGGCAAAGAATTCCAAAGATTTGTGTCCACCTACCTTCTTGAAATATCTTTGATTTGTATTTTGAGGTAGTGAATTTGTTTGAAATATTTGCTCAAGTTTTTGCATCATTTGCTACCAGTTTTTTTTTCCATATTCAAAACAAAAACAATCAGATAATTTTCATGAATAAAATAAGTTTCACAGAATCCTCAACAATATTTTATCCAAATATCCAATCTGGGAAGAAAACAGTAAAAATTAAAGGTACAATATTTCCCCCATATAATTATTCATGACCTAAATAAAAAAAAATAATAAAATTTTCATGTTGTCTGTAGTAAATTAAATACACTGGCAAACTGTATTCCTCCTGAAGTCAAATAAGAAATGGACCACAAGCAAATTGAACTAGGGGTTGTATGATAAAAAAATGGTTGTACCTCTTCTGTAGTAACTTTCCTCTGTACATGGAGATCAAATTTATTCCCCACAAGTACCAAAGGAGTATCCTCTGAAGCCCTGACTTTTTGGATCAACTTCCTATATTCCAAAGCCTCTTGAAAACTGTGCCTGTCTGTCACACTGTAACAGATTAGAAAACCTTCTCCACATCTCATGTATTGGTCTCTCATAGCTGTAAATTCAACCTGAAAGACATATTGTTGGTCACTAAGAAGACTGGAAGATACTAGAATGCAAAACATTTTTTAAATTGAAAATACATGAAATAGCTTTCTGTCAATAAAAAATATAGTGAAGTATGTACCTACCTGTCCAGCAGTATCCAGAATATCCAGCAGAGCGGGTTCTCCATCAATAACAGCTTGTTGTTGATAGGAATCCTCTGCAAAAAATATTGTTCAATGTTGTTTGTCAAAATATTTGAACCATTTTACCTATAGTGGGATCATGATAATCCAGGAAACTGTGACTGACGAACTGCAGTGTTACAGCTAGAAGAACAATAGAAAGAAGTAAATACATAATGAAATCTTACCTATTTATTTACCTGATTTGCCAACACCACCATCACCCAAAACCACTATTTTGTACACCCTTATTCCAGTCCTGGTTTTATCCTGAGTACTGACTCCTGCCGCAGGTCTGTCGAGCTCTATTTCTGGGACTTTTCCAGATCTACTGGATTCCTGTCTACTCAATTTTCCTTTTTTTCTGTGACTAGCCTCTCCAGCCATATCCAGAGGGTGGAAAAAGTGGAGAGATGTACCGATATTTGTGACTAAATCGGTACACTATGATGATAAGTAGCATACAGTTGATAAATAGAACTATTTCAATACTTCGAGGCTTGTTTTACGATATAACTTTAAAATCAATTCAAATTACAGTGAAAATAGATTTATAATAAACCAACCTCCCCACCAGCAGAACAAATCTAACTGACATGTGACATTTGACATTTATAAAGCGAGCCGAGCACATCTGTTTTTGACACATCAATAATAACTAGGCGACTTTTCACGATGCATCGACGTGACCGTCATAACCATTATCGACCAACTGGTGTGGATAACCACAAAATACCGCTCACAAGATGACTTTAACGTCAATTTCCATCAAGGGACCCTAGTCCTCATAAGTTTTTTCAATGTACCCTGTCAGCATTTCCTTCACATCCGAAAATTCCATCGAATCACTAACATGGATGTTGAAATGTCTTAAAATTTGTATGATCTCGCCTTCACTCAACTGCTCCATAATATCACGTCGGGGTCACCAAATTGTGGATACAATTGATACAAATTATAAGACTTTGAGTTGTAATTATATTATAAAAATGTCACATCAATGTCAGACTATCAAATCATAATATACCAAGTATATAACCATTGTCGTTCTAGATGACAACCTAGTTAGATAGTTAGTAGGCAGGAGCTATTATACCTCCTCGCACTAGGTCGCCTACTAGGTTTTGACTTAGATCGACAATGATATAACATAACTTGTCACCATAAGTATACTCTGGTCAGTTCACTTTGTGAATCTTCTGTTCGGTTCGTATGGACTGGATGGTTTTCTCCGATCGAGTGGCATGTATCAAAAACTGCTTCTCTGATCTGCAACAGAACATCACATAGCAATCGAAGTACATTCATATCAGAAAATAAATTTCATTAGATGAATTACATGGATGTTGAATCTGAGACATACCTGAATAATATATTCAACGTCCGTAACTGGATTGCTACATATCCGCTTTCTTTCCCAATACTGTTTTTTCCAGTAGGCATTTTCCACATTTTCAATAACGTACGTGGGTTATATGTTTTATTGAGGACCTTGAAGGCCAAACGATGTGCTGCTCGGATCTAAAACTAAGGATCAATTTCAAATTTGAATCGCGAGAAATACATGAAATATATTGGATATGGCTTTCAACATTCGTAACTAGAACGCGATATATTTTTGTAAATCATCAATTCATCGACTATCTCAATAAAGACGAGGCAGGCAGATAAACAACAATTTTCTCTGCAATGAAGAACACTGTATATACCTAACCCACCATACGTCTACCTCCTTTGCAGAGAGGGTTTATAAACGCCGAGTTGATACTCTCCCCTCGTAAGGGTACCTGTCGTGTTTCCATAGAGACATAGAGCTGAATATCTGTCTATCTGTCTGGTTGAGAATCTGGAAAGGTAATCAATATATCGCCTTCCGTACGAATATAATGATCTGAATTCTGTAAAGTATACTCTGGTCAGTTCTGTTTGCGGATCTTCTGTTCGGTCCGTATTTACTGGATGGTTTTCTCCGATTGAGTGGCAAGTATCAAACCCTGCTTCTTGGATCTGCAACTGAACATCACATTTTAATCGAAGTACATTTGAATCAGAAAATATCATCAGAGGAAAATACATAGATGTTGAATCTGAGACATACCTGAATAATATTTTCAACGTCCGTAACTTGATTGCTACATATCTGCTTTCTTTCCGTATAGTGGTTTTTCCAGTAGGCATCTTCCACATGTTCGATCACGTGGGTTATATTAAGGTCCTTGAAGGCCAAACAATGTGCTGCTCAGATCTAAAACTAAGTATCAATTTCAAATTTGAATCGGGAGACCTACATAGAATATGAATCTATGGAAAGTCTGGATATTGTTTTCAACATTCAAAACTGGAACGCAATATATTTTTGTAATTCATCAACTATCTCAATGAAGACTAGACAGGCAGATAAACAACAATTTTCTCTGCAATGGAGAACACTGTATATACCTAACCCACCATGCGCCTACCTCCTTTGCAGAGAGGGTTTATGAACGCCGAGTTGATACTCTCCCCTCGTAAGGGTACCTGTCGTGTTTCCATAGAGACATAAAGGTGAATATCTGTCTTATCTGTTTTCTTGAGAATCTGGAAAGGATATCAATATATTGCCTTCCGTACGAATATAATGATCTGAATTCTGTAAAGTATACTCTGGTCAGGTCTCTTTTCGGATCTTCTGTTCGGTTCGTCTTGACTGGGTGGTTTTCTCCGATTAACTGGCAAGTATCAAACACTGCTCCTTGGATCTGCAACCAAACATCACATATTAATCGAAGTACATTTAAATCAGATAATTAATATCATCAGATGAAGTACATGGATGTTGAATCTGAGACATACCTGAATGATATTTCCATCGTCCGTAACTGGATTGCTACATATCCGCTTTCTTTCCGAATAGTGGTTTTTCCAGGAGGCATCTTCCACACTTTCAATTACGTGGGTTATATTGAGGACCTTGCATTCCAAACAATGTGCTGTTCGGATCTGAAACTAAGGATCAATTTCAAATATGAATCGTGAGACCAACATAGAATATAAATCTATGAAAAGTCTGGATATTGATATTTTTTTTATCAATATATCGCTTTCCGTACGAATATAAGGATCTGAATTCTGTAAAGTATTCTCTGGTCATTTTTCTTTAGGGATTCTTTGTTCGATTTTTCGTGACTGGATGGTTTTCTCCGATTCAGTGACAAGTATCAACACTTTGCTTCTCAGATCTGCCAATGAACATGACATCAAATATCGAAGTCCATAAAAAGTAATACTGACTTTCATGAGAGGCGGAACATGGATGTTGAATCTGGAACATACCTGAATAATATTTCCAACATTCGTAATTGGAAAGCGATATATTTTTGAAATTCATTAATTCATCAACTATCACAATGAAGACGAGCCAGGCAGATAAACAACACTTTTCTCTGCAATGATACTGCAATACTGCAAAAATAATCTTTCATTTCCACTTATGAAACAACGTTATTGTGAAGTCACCAATTATAATCAAATTATCATAAAGATTCTCAGTCATGTCGTTGGAGACACGAGATAAAACATAATAAGAGTGAGCCATGATATTATAGATCATTCTTGACTTTTTCGAGCAACCAGCATGTCTGTATATCTCTTGTACCCTATAACAAAATATCATGTTGATGTTGAAGACTTGGCAACAATGTGCTGAATGCTGAGAACTGACAAGGCACCGCCCACAATTCGTGCGCCGGGTTGTCACGTTTACCCTCAAATAAGTTAAATATCCTCTGGTGTGAATTAATATAATAATATTAATATTATATAACACAAATATATTATGAACAATAAGCCACAACAAATGAGGGAATATTTTGAGACAATTGATTTTTATGTCTAATTAGGAATATATAATCAATACACAATTGAAAATTCATGAATTATTGAATAACTAATATCTCCTAAGTTCCAATCGCATTTCAACATATGGCAACTGTGCTATATATGGTCTGTCCCTACTTACGAAATCGTGACGTCAGTTATGACTCGCGGTAAATTTTCAGCCGTATGAAAATTACCGTGGCATTATTGTTGATCTCAGCAACTTAAAATCGAATGAAGAATTCTGAAAATATATGAAATTGAAAGTTATTTGAGTGATGATTGTTTTGGCCGAGGAATAATTGTATGTTGGGTTGCCATTATGTCAGTTCAAAATTGCGTTAAATACTACATAGTGAGTTCACCTCGCGAAAGAATATATTTAGTGATACAAAAAAAGGTCCCATGAATTTTTTGTACCGATCTTTTTCTATACATACAGTGTGTGCGATTTCAACCCGCAACACCCAGCTAATTTGGAGCCCGTCGACCGATTTACAAGAAAAAATATTCCATAATATATGCTACTCAACGAGAATGTGAACAAATTTAAAATATTTGGATTTTCAAGGCCTACTTTTTTTTGTTGAAGAGGTCATAATTACAAAAACGACTATTAGGCATTTTTTTTCGAAATAGTGACTAGCCTATTCCATTTCAATTGATTGATACTGTTGATTGAATGTAAGCTGATGTGACTCACTAGCGAATTCAGTTGTTCAATATTGCCTTTCATTTAGATATACAGGGTGTGTAAGATTTTGTTGGAGATTATTTAACATGTTTCAATTGAATATCTCGAAAACAGTTCCGTTAATTTAGATCTCATTTTACTGACACTATTTTGAATATGCTGACTATCGTATGCGAAAAGTTTTTCAATTTTTTATGTTTCGTTTCTGAGATATCATTTTTACAGTATTTATTATACCTATTACAGGTATTATAGGGTTATTACCTTGGATATTACTATTAGAAATCAATAATTTGTAACTATAAACAACACTAACCACATTGAAAAACAATAATGAAACTCAACAGTATGGATTCCGTAAAGTTCTGTTGAATCGATAGTAATATCCGAGGTAATAACCCTATAATACCTGTATGTAATACTGTAAACTCAAAAATGCATATCTCAGAAACAAAACATAAAAAATTGAAAAACTTTCTGGATATGATAGTCAACATATTCAAAATGGTGTGAGTAAAATGAGATCCAAATTAACGGAATTGTTTTCGAGATATTCTATTGAAACATTTTGAATAATCTCCAACAAAATCTAACACACCCTGTATCTAAATGAAAAGCAATATTGAACAACTGAATTCGCTAGTGAGTTTACTCAGCTTTCAATAAATCAACAGTATCAATTAATCCCTTTTATTGTGATCAAAAGCAAGCTGTCCATTGTTTCCCAAAAGGGGTATAACACAAAATTCAAAGAATTCATATTTCGAACAGATATAGTTATCAAGAATGTAAATACGTTTTTGAAGCCTACAATAGACTGAAACTATAATGTCTCACCAAAATATAACTTGTTAGTTTTGGAATAGTGCTCGAATTTTTTTTTTCGAAAAATGAATTTTTTGACCGTGCCTCGTATACACCCTGATTTATTATAATTTTTGTGATCATAACTAGACATGTATTTGAGTTCCGATCAATACATTTTCTAGCTTATTTTGTCTTATTTATACTAAAAAAAAGGTTTTTTGCTTTGT